CTGCATGCAGGACCTGAATTCACAAGCCCTCTCCCCAGTTATGATTTCCAGCAACTGCTGTTCAGAAGCACTGCTGCCATCATAACTAGAAGCTACTGATAGCCCTCTCCCCCATGAGTGTGTCTAATCCTCTTTTAAAGCCATTTCAATTGCTGGCCATCACATCTTGTACCTCATGCTTCCTTTCCTAAGACGGATTTTGAAAGCAGAACTTTGACCTTGTGTTGTGTACTAAACTTGGATCCTAGAACAATAGGCAAGTAGGATCGTGGAATGCAACAATTGATTTGGTCTGCAGGAAAAGACCAATCAGGCTCCAGGAGGGAAGCAGAATCAGCCAATCAGACGTTGTGTAAATAATGTATATAAAAGCCTGAGGTTTGGGGGGCAATTCAATCACTGTTTTACAAGCTGCAATAAAGAGCATGAAATCACTGCAGGACTCCGAGTATATTTCACCTTGCCTGACACACGTACATTCTGCAGCCTTTCGTGCGGAGCACATGTGGCAAACTCATAGACTTGGCTCTCTGGGGATGCTTGGGATGAAGGGGTTCCCTGCTGTATTCTTCCACTCGGCCTCTTGAGCTGCTGAGCTCCAGCGGTCCTGATGCCCCATTGACAACTCTCTGATCAAGAGGAAAAAGAAAGAAAGAGGCAGGTGGGTTGCTGACTGAGATCCAGGAGAACCTCAGATAAACCTGACAGGCTAAGCCCCAGCAGAAAAGGTGCTCTCTTACCTTTGATGGAAAGAGAACCTTTGGAGAAAGAGCCCTGTCCATGTTGATCCTCTTCAGCTCTGCTGCAGAAAATGGTTGAGAGGGCTGATGGCTTCTTCTAGAACTTTCTGCAACTTTGCTGGGCAATCCCAAGGACTCAATGTCTGCGAAGCCATGTGGGAAATGTTTATTGCTAGGACAGGGCTGGGAGGGCAAGCCTGCAAGTCCTCTCCAATTCTGGAGCAACATGTGAAGAGTTGAATGGTCACAGCCCAGTCTTTTTGTCTGTCTCCAGTTGTGTAGATTTAGACACAGATCCAGAATTGTGATCTATGGATCCAAGTTAATGGCAGATGATCCAGGAAGATCATGGGATCTAAAAGACATGTTACCAAACATAGCCACACACAAAAAAGGATCGTAATGAGAGATCTCACGAACCTGTCTTTCCCAGCCTATAGAGATTTTTCCACAATGCTGGAACTTGGGAAATCCTTATGACTAAGATTTTCAACACTTACGAGACGCTGAGCATCAGGGTGTTTGCAGAATCCACATTGCTGGAACCATCCCTGAATTTTGATTATCTCCTTTACCTTTACCTATGCGGAACTGAAAATGTCAGATTTGGTACTCTTTCAAAGGCATATTTCTAGAATTTGCATGAAAAACTTAAATTAAAAGCTGTTTAAAGACAATTTAAAATGTTTGTGTTTGTTTTTTCTTTGGAATTGCACAGCTGCACAATGGTTACAATTGTGGGTTTCAAAGGCATTGCAAAACACTTTAAAGAATAATGAGTGAGTGCTGTTTTTCTGAAACCTCCCAGAGGACTGTGCAGGGGCTTATCTATTACTGACATCCTGAAATCAATTCCTGCTGGGATTCAAACAGCGTGCGATCCAATGGATATCGCAAATAGCAGAATAATGGTGTGCAAGAATCAGCTTGTGAAGATGAGGGCACTTGCAGATTACCTGCCTACTGAGCAGTCATTCTGATTTGTTTGAGGGGCAGTTAAATACCATCCCTTCATATCCCTCCCCTCCTCCCTCAGAATTCTAGGAACTGTAGTTTGTGAAGGCTGCTGGGCATTGTAGCTCTGGGAAGGCTAAACTACAATTCCTGCAGGGGTGCTTTATACTGACATTGCATCAAAGGAAGTGCTATCCCACACTTCCCAGTGTATTTTCCTGTCACTTTCCTGACTGCAAAAGGTCAGGGAATCAGGTTTGTTGCACAAGATCTCCCAAGGAACCAGAACTGTGCCACTTGAATCTATTGGTATGTGACTGAACCCCACTCGAAATAGTGGTAGTTCAACTGCCTTTGCAAAGACAGGGTCATCCTTGTGCCAAACCCTTCTGGGACCCATCTAGAGATTCTCATGGGTAAGCTGCTCCAGAGGTCAGCTGCTCTGAGTAAGTGAGCCCAAGTTGCATTCTGAAGGGAGAAATCGCTTGCAGCAATGAAGCGTCCAGAACTCTGGGACTTTTCTAGGCTTACCGTACCTCCTCACAAAGCATGCTGGTGTGACTGAATTCCCAGTGCTGAGAGAGAGGCCTGCAAATACGTTCTTTTCTCTTCTATGCACCAGCTTGCTGTGGGGAAATACATATCCCATGCCAAGACAAAAAGCAGGGCAGCTGCTGCTATGGAAACCGTGGTGGCAACGAGGCAGTGCCTGCTTCTGGCCTGCTAATAAATTGGCCATTGTGAAACGTGGGTCACCTCTCAAAAAGGGAGGAGCCACCATAGCAGGGAGGAGAAAGGAAGAACACAGAAAAGGGTGTTTGTGTGTGTGAATAGAAATGACACACCCTTGAACATTCTGTAGGTGAAAACAAAGATAATTGGTTGTGCTTCAGATCCAGATCCTAGCTGTCAACGTTTCCCTTTTTATAAGGTAAATTCTAATATTCCAAATAGGATTCCTCGCAAGAAAAGGGAAAAGTTGACAGCTATGATCCAGATGCTCTTTGAGGAAACTGAATTTTTTAAAAAATCCATTTCAATTGGAGTTTAGGCCCAGTTTTGGCACAGAAACTGCTTTGGTCGCCCTGTATGATGACCTCTGTCGAGAGAGAGACAAGGGAAACTTGTCCCTGTTAATTCTTCTTGATCTCTCAGCGGCTTTCGATACCATTGACCATGGTATCCTTCTGGAGCAGCTGCCTGAGTTGGGGGTGGGTGGAACTGCTTTGCAGTGGTTCTGGTCCTACTTGGATGGTCGCCCCAGAAGGCGATGCTTGGGGAATGCTTTTCAGCCCCATGGAGCATTCAGTGTGGAGTTCTTCAGGGCTCAATTTATTCCCTGCTACTTAACATCTACATGAAACCGCTGGGTGGGGTTACCCAGAGGGTTGGAGTATGTTGTTAGCAATATGCTGATGACACTCAGCTCTATTTCTCCTTTACATCTGCAGGTGAGGCAGTGGAAGTGCTGGACCAGTGTCTTGCCTTGGTAATGGACTGGGTGAGAGCCAACAAACTGAAGCGCAATCCAGATAAGACTGAGGCACTGTTAGTGGGTGGTTCCCTGGACCAGATGGCTGGGAGGTCACCTGCTCTTGATGGGGTTACACTTCCTCTGAAGGAGCAGATTCGTAGCTTGGGGGTACTCCTGGATCCTGTGCTGTCACTCAAGGCTCAGGTGGCCCCAGCGGCACAGAGCGCCTTCAGTCAGCTTTGGCTGGTGGCCCAGCTATGCCCCTATCTGGACAGGGATAGCCCAACTACTGTTGTCTACGCTCTGGTAACCAATAGGCTAGATTACTGCAACACATTATACATAGGGCTGCCTCTGAAGACGGTTCAGAAGCTTCAGCTGGTGCAGAATTCAGTGGCCAGGTTGCTCAATGGGACAATATGGTTTGAGCATATTACACCGATCCTGGCCTGACTGCACTGGCTGCCAATGAAATTCCAGGCCCAATTCAAAGTGATGGATCTGATCTATAAAGCCTTAAATGGCTCAAGGACCACCTCTGGCCATATAAACTGACCCAGACTTTGCAGGTGTCAGGTGAAGCCTGTCTTCATGTGCCTCCTCCATGTGAGGTTGGGGGGTGGGGGTGACAACACAAGGATGGGCCTTTTCTGCAGTGGCTCCCTGTTTGTGGAATGCTCTCCCCAGGGCGGTTCTTCTGGCACCTTCATTATATATCTTAAGGCGCCAGGCAAAAGTGTTCCTCTTCAGCCTTTGACTGATTAATATTCTACAGCCTTTGAATATGTGCCTATGGAAAGGGGGAGTGTTATTGTTTCACTGTTTTGTTTTGATTCTTTACTTGTGTTTTTATCTTGTATTTTATTCTGTGAATTGCCCTGAGATCTTATGTTGAAGGGTGGTATACAAATTAAATAAATTAATAACATACTCTTGTGCACTGGAATTTGGACACTGGAGGGCGACTGGGATGGTCAGAGGTCTGTTAATCCAATGTATGTACAAGCCATACATTTAACACCTGGAGATGAATAACACTGTATAGTTTGTTTGCTTTTGTAACTTGAAAATTTCCCCCCCTAAAAGAACATGAAACCATAATCCATCTCTAAGAAATATTTCTGTCCCCACCCACCTCCCCCAGAGTACAGATATGTTGTAAGCCGCCAAGAGTGGCTGGGGTATAAATGAAACAACAACAGCAACAACAATAATTGCAGTCTTATGGCGAAATGCTGTTCCAAAGTTGCACAAGCGAGATCTGTGGATGCCACTGTAGTTGATGTTCCGTTGCAAATGAAGGGATGCTGTGTCTCTATAGAATCACTTTCCAGCTATAGCTTTGACTCCCTTCACTGGTCAGTTTTTCTGAAAGTGCTAAAGTCCAATTTGGGGCAGCAATAAGTAAGGCTTCCTCAAACTCGACCCTCCAGAGTTGTTTTTGGCCTACAATTCCCATGACCCCTAGCTAGCAGTGGTCAGGGATGATGGGAATTGTAGTCCCAAAACATTTCGAGGGCCGAGTTTGAGGAAGCCTGCAATAAGTTGTCCAGCTGCTTTGGTTCCCCCCGCCCCCGCTTCTATAGGGATGGTCTTGGTCCAACTGGTCCCTCCTCCTCTGGGTCAGGAGCGCTATGGGGTGGGAGGTGGGGCAGCCAGGTAAAAGGCACACGACACAGGCAGCTTGGGGAACTGTGGTTTTAATGTAAATTTGTTTGCCTTTTTAAACATAATTGTCTGTTAGGGTATTTTTAAATGCTGGTTCTAATGCATAATCGCGAACCGGAAGTCTCCGCAGCAACCTCTTCAGCCCGCATCCCCTTGGACCGCCCATAGCCGCCGCCACGTAATTCCGGTCAATCTCTCTCTTTGCCGCATTCCTCCTCCACCATGAAGTCGCGCGGGTAGAGCGGCCCACGCTCCTCAGACTCGCCGCGTCAAGGAAAGGAGGAAAAAGAAGCGTCGGTCGCTCTAGCCCGCGCGGCGGCGGCTGCCTTCGGCGCATAGGACGGCAGAGTGCGCATGCGCAGGGTGCCGTTTGCGTCGCCGCCGCCTCCGCTCTTTCGCTGCAGCCGCCGCCGCTGCTAAGGGGAGAACGAGCGGGACCAGGAGAGTCGGAGGAGCCGCGGGACAGCGGTGAGGGACGGAGGGGCGGGTGGTGGTGGTGGTGAAAGGAGCCCCAGAAGCGACGGGAGAGGAAGGCCTCAGGCCCCGCTGCGTCGGGCCTTGTCGGGTCGGGCCGAGCCTTTGCGGTCTGTGCGGGAGGGGGAGGGGCTTCGAGTAAGCCACGCCCCTCGGGCCTCGCCATTATTCTCCCCTCGTCCCGACCACCCCGGGCGGTGGGCGAGCGGCTATCTGGATCTAGGCCGCGCGGTCTCGCGGTGCCAGGGGGAAGTCTCGCGGGACTTGGGCGTGGCTCTGCGGCTCCGCTTCGGGAAGCGGCTGGAACGCAGGAAGCCCAGGCCGCTGCCTTGCCCCGAGTTTCCTGGAAGCAAGACTCCGGCCCCGTGGCCCTGCACTGACTGGCTGGCGGCTGTCCAGGGTTTGGGGCAGGGAGATGGCCAGCCCTACCTGGGGATGCTGCCAGGGATCGAACCCGGGACCTTCTTCATTCGAAGCAGATGTTCGGCTGCTGAGCTGCGGCCCTTCCCAAGTAGGAACAGGGACAGCCTCTTTTGCGATGGCCCTTCCTTCAAAAATAAGGCCCAGTCCTCAAGGATCTGAGGAAGGGGCCGATTTAAACGGGAGTGCAGGAAGGGGCTTTATTCCGAGTCAGACGGTTGGATCTATCTGGCGCAGTATTGTCATAGCTGTCAAGTTTCAGATTTGAAAATAAGGGATCAGCAGCCTCACCTGTCCCGGGGACAGTCTATGCGATATCTAACAATCCGGGATAGCAGTGGGAAACGGCACTGGAATAAGGGGATTTCCCGCAAAAAAGGGAAGGTTGACAGCTATGAGTATTGTCTGCACCGACTGGTATCAGCAGTTCTCCAGGGTTTCAGGCAAGGAACTCCCCCAGCCCCACCAGGGGTTTGAATTTGGGGCCTTGTGCACGCAAAGCAGATGCTCTATCACTGCCTGTTACAGCCTTCCTCTCCTTCCTCCTGGGCTTATTCCCATCACTCTTCATTCCTTAGCAGGCATGGCCAATGGACAAGGAGGAGGAGGAGGAGGAGGATGACTGTGATGGGCGTTGTAGACCAGGAATATCTGGAGGACAGCCAGGTGCCTTACCCTGCTCCTACCTGCCTCTCAGAAACTTGATCTACTTGTCACTGTGGGATGGGGTGTATTAAATCTGACGTGCTTTTAGTAATAACCCAGTAATCAAAATTGTGAGAGCGGCGAAGGGAGAAGAGGGTTTTTCCATGGTCTGGCTGTCACTGGAGCCCTCCCCCAGCCCTTAATTTGAGCACCAGCTCAGCACAAAAAATTCTTAAGTTTCAATACAACTGCTCAAAAACAAGGAGTGGGATTTTTAAAATAAAAATACAACCCTTTAAATATAGTCCTATAAAAAGTTGGTGATTAAATAGTGTGGGAGTTGTGGTCATCGGAGTCATTGGTGGTAGGGCATATCCATTGCCCTTTGATAAATGCAATTTTAGGGGTGTTTTTAAATTCTCTTACAGTCATATCTCGGGCTGAAATAGCTTCGGGTTGAGCGTTTTCGGGTTGCGCTCTGTGGCGACCCAGAAGTAACGGAACGCATTACTTCTGGGTTTCGCCACATGCGCAGATGCTCAAAATGACGTCATGCGCAGAAGCAGCGAATCGCGGCACGCTCAGACGTGGGTTGTGTTCGCTTCAGGATGCGAACGGGGCTCCAGAACGGATCCCATTCACATTCAGAGGTACCACTGTACTTTCGCTAGCTTTTTATCCCACCTCAGACAACTATTGCCTTCTATGGTGACTCACATCAATTAAGAGAGAGGCTGAGAAAGAGGCAGGCCATTCTTCCCATCAGACTTAAAACAAGAAAGACTGGCCGTGCAAGAGAAAGGGAGTAGAGGGAGGGGGATCGGTACTTCAAGGCCAGCATATTAATGTGAACTACGGTCAGTAACTTTTTAGTCAACGGCAACCAGGAAAATAGTTTATAATTTTTAAAATATTTTATCAAGTACATATAGATAAAGAGGGAGAATTCATTTTTAAGTGCTAGAAATTGCAAATATGTGTGTGTGGATGTAGTGCTGTTTTTTTTTTCTTGTGAATCATTTAAAAGACAAGTTCATGGGAGAGAGGTTGGCTGTTGCTTGTCCTGGCTAAAAATCAGCCTGTGTGTTTAGATGCAGCATACCTGATGACTAGATGCAGGAGACGAGCAGTGAATGGCCATCCTCATGCCCTCCTGATGAACTTTTTGGGGGCTGCTGCAGCTGATAGAATGTTGATATGTCAATCTTACCTGGCAAGGTCGTTTTCCTTTAAAAGATAAAAAAGAGTTGGCTCAGAGAACTGTCTGTTATTGGGGCACTCCATCCACTGAGGTGTTCTGTGAAATTCAAGCACATGTATACTTTGGTATGAAGGGATACATATACTTGGGTTTCACATAGCACTTCTGTAAATGGAGTGGAAAATGATCACCTCTGAACTATGTAGAGAACAGTGTTATTGCCATTGCAAATATTGCTAGTCACTTTAGAAATGCATGTAGGAGATAAGTTTTAATTTGTGAATACCCCTCCCACCCCAAATGCTCCAATTTTGAACCCATCTCACCCAAATAAAAGTTTATTCCTGCACATGAAAACATGTGAAACAGGAATGGTTGAGGCTGCTAGTGAAGAAAGGAAAGGCTAGAAAGACACCAAGAAGAAGACCAGAATGGTTTTATTGTATATTTCAAGATAGAAGAATATTTATTCTACTTACACTCCTCCCTTCATACTAAACATGCCAACAGATAAGCACAATCAAACTTCAGGAATGGGCAGGTACACAGGAAGGAACCCCTCCTGCAAAAATGCTCCTTTTTGTCATAATTTCCAGTGTGCTCAACCTGCATTCCTAGGGAAAAAAATGCAGCAGAATCCAAAAAAGGGGGCAAGCCAGCAAAAATATTATTGTGAGAAGAAATGAAAGGCAAAGCAAGAAAAGAAGCATTGCTGTACCGTACTGCTAGAGCCATTTCACTTTTGAGAAGCAAGATCACCAAGAAAGGGAAATAGGAAGGTGTTTTTTCCAGTCCTTATTTAATAAAAAGTTTAAATCATAGGTGATAGCAGTAAAAGATCACAAAGGAAATATTCTAGATCGCCTAAAAGCGCAGCAAGCTTTCTTAAATACCCCTTGCATCCATTTTCTTAATTTTGAGCTAGATTCAGCAGAATTCTGTGGCCTGACTGCTGATGGAGAGCCTCTGGCCGAGAACATGAGACACAATTGTTTAAACAGCTGCACTAGCTGACAATTTACTACTGAGCCAGGTTAAAGGTTTTTGTATTAATTTACAAAGCCCTGAACAGCTTAGGTCCAGGGTACCTCAGGTCTGATTATAGCCCAGCTCAATTTGCAGGATCATCTTTCCTTGGTCTTTCCCCAAGTTGGCAAAGCTTGTTTGACAACAGTGAGAAACCAAGCTTTTAGGGTCACCAGCCCCATCCTGTGGAACACCCTACCAATAGAGATTTAGTGGGTGTCTTCTATGCCAACTTTTAAATGTCTGCTGAAAACTATTATTCCACCAGGCCTATGCAGGCAATTAAGAGTACATCTCCCACAATGGTTTGTTGATACTTGCTTTTAACCTTTTTTGCTTTTAACTTGTTTTTATTTTTTGTGCTTTTATTGTATGGCTTTTATCGTTTAATGTTGTAAACTGCTTTGATATGTTTTGTAAATTAGCAGTAAATAATCTTACTGAGAAACATTTTATTTTTTTAATGTAGAAACATCTATAAAATAGCCATGGCAATCATTTAAATTAAAGCAGATTGATTTTCCACTCATTATTAAAGGTTCACCTTTATTAAACAAAAATAGCCAGTAGAGGGAAAGGACACAAGTTGATGGGAAGGCTCAAAGCGTTAAGTGAAGTTGCCCAAGGAAACATTCAAAATTTTACTAAATTCTATAGCCAACATTCTGTTCTCTTGGGCTGCTAATGCACATACATAGGAACTCCAATTGTATGTACTTGGGCAGACATTAGATTTCTAAGTTATATTGATAATTAAAGAACCGCCCTTTGTAACCAGCATATCCTCATTGAGTGGAAAATGAACTTTTTTTGCCATGTGTTCCAATTCAGGCATCTATTTAATATTTGCTCAAGCGTTTATTTTCTGGTAACTTCGTAGAGATGACATAACACTAGATAGTGTGGAAAGTGAAACAAGTGCTGTGTTTAAAAGAGACAACTTATTTCACACCCTTTAATGAGTAGAATCTATCTACAAAGTACTATAATTTACACTTGCATTTCATCTTGTTTAGTAAAACACAAAATTGCAGGTTAGGAAGAATTTGAAACTCAATAATGTACAGATGTCAAACGTAGAGATGAGAAGGCCTAGAAAAAAACAGAAAATTGGGGGGGGGAGTGTGGAATATTCAAACTATATCAAACTTTTTTTTTTCAATTTTTCCGGAGGAAAACAGCTTTGGGGGGAAATGAAAAAAACCCAGATTCCTCCCCCCCCCCAATTTTTCTGTTTTTCCCCCAGGCCTTCCCATCTCTAGCAGCGTATACCATTATGGTGTAACCTCCCATGTTGAGAAATGTGCATGGACTGCAGGGCTGTAAATGAACAATCATTTTGTACCTCTTGAACTGTTGGGAAAGGTGGGGTATACATTTGTTCAGTCTGCCAATATGCTGTAAATAATACTGAGAAAATAGCTGGGATAAAAATAATTTAAATCCAGTTTATTTTATTTCATGAGGCTTGGCAGTCTCAGTCTGTAATTGCAGGGTTCGTAAGAAATGCTCTCAGAAGCTGGTAGAGGCAGTAACGAAACCTGCAGTCCTAAAAGCTCTTTGCTTCTTCTAAAATAGGGTTGCTGGTGAGAAATGAATTCCAAAGTGGCAGCCCCTTTGCACTGCTCATCTTACGGGAATCAGATTGAGAGTATGCCTCTCTTACTGACCTTTCCCATGTATACTTTGTTCATGACTTTTGTAAATGGGTTGGGAGTAAATAGGTAGTATTCCTTTAACTAGATAGCTCTTGGTGAAGCTGTTGATTATGTCACAAAGGCCCTTTTAGTGCCACTGAAATGACCATTCCTGTGTTTCATAGCACACCGGCCTGGTTCTCTTATAGGTATTTTTAAAACATGATGTTTAAGATACAGCAAGATTTGGGAGGCTTGTAAAAGGTGGTGAAATGTTGTGGGCCAAGATTGCTGAAGACTGCCGGGATGAGCTTGTTTTGCTGGAGAGGTTGTTCTGGTGTTCATCCAGGTGCCTTCCTTGTATGTCTAGATGCATCACTGTAAGCGCTACCGCTCCCCAGAGCAGGAGCCCTACATGAGCCACAGGTGGAAGAGGAGGCGGTCTTGCAGCAGGGAGCAACATGATGGAAGAACACGATACCCAGTTCGCCGGGATCTGTCAAGGAGGTCACGGTCTAGAAGGTGAGCAAGAGATTATCTTGGAACAAGCAGTCATACCCACATGGTGAATGCTTGCTTTGGTACTAAATGGTCCTTCTAAATTGGAATTGTAAATGTCCAGATCCCTTCTAGTCCTGTGTAGCTACCCCTGCAGCTACCAAAAGACACTCTTTGTGCCCTGCAGTGAAATGACAGAAAGCAGTGTCTAGTGCAGGTTAATAATAATAATAATAATAATAATAATAAATTATTTATACCCCGCCCTTCCCGGTTCAAAAAACCAGGCTCAGGGTGGCTAACAACAAATTTAAAACACTTAATTGATGCAACAAAAAACAGCATAAAACACGAATAACAATAAATTCAGTATTCAAAAATCAATTTAGGGCGAAAATCCATCCACACAGGTTACACACAGCACTGCACTGTGGTTGCTGCACAGATTCCTGTCCCCCCCCACCCCCAGGGCACCTTTCCCATTTCCTAATCACAGGTTTTTATTTGTCACACAGCCATGAGAGAATGCCCTACCAGAGAAGATACAGAGACAGAGATGACAGTGATGTCTACAGGTTTGAAGAGCGGAGCTCATCTTTTGGAGAAGACTATTACGCTGCACGCCATTCACGGCATCACCGGAGATCTCGAGACAGAGAGCGCCACCGGACAAGGAAGCACCAGCATCGCTGCCGGAAACGCAGGACCAGGTCTTGTAGCAGTACCTCCTCGGTGAGTATCATCCAAAATGAGATCAGGATTGGTCAGGGCCTAACTAACTTGTAGCTTTTTTCCAGCTTTGAATCATACTGGGTGAGTACTTCTAATCCCCTGTCTTTCTCCTCAATGCAGAGTTAAGTTTTTCTTCTGCTTGTGTGATAACTGGTTATATTAGCTGTTCTTAGTCTTGACTGTGAATAATTTTAGGGTCTGAGACTCGTGTGTGTTTCTCAGGATGCATTGGGAGGGAGAGAAGCCAAACATGGCATCAGTAACAATGTGGGGGTGAGGGGGGACGTTTGTGCACATGGCTCAGAATCGTTTTGCACACATGACCCTCTGCTCTCAACTTTCACATCCTGTGTTGCTCAGCGCTTGTGTTCAGGGGGCACAGAGCAGTCTTGCCTTTGCAACCGCAGCAGGGCATTTCTGCCAGCACCCTCTCCTTCCTAGGGCCAGGTCAAGCTGTGTCAGACTAATTTCTCAGGACTTTTAAGCTCACAGACCTTCCTCTCCTCTCTAAGACCCTTCATGGGTGAACAGTTCTGGTATAAGATGGTGCCTTCCTCACACAGTAGCCAGTCTGCACAACTTGTGTCGCTGCAGCCCACAAGTTGTATATGGCAGCCCGAGAGAGGCTGAATGCACCCCCAAGAGAGGGGACATGAAGAGTACCAGGCAGGTCTCCATATATAGCTGGTGGACTGCATCTGACTTGTTGGATGGCAGATTGTACTGGCTTCAGGTGGGGGGGGGTGTTGGGGATTTTTGGATTGCAGCACATACGCATATCATCTTCCTTTGTTAATATAATTTTTTTGTTAGCATTTCCAAGCAGCTCACAGACCTTGCCCATTCACTCACCCCAACCACAAAGAAAAAATTGGAAAGAAACCCAAGAGGAATGAGTCTTGAAGCACACACCCAGTTTTGCTTCATAGAGTCACAGACCTGTCAGTGCTCTAATCAATGTGCAATTTTATGCACGTTGATGTAATATGAGTTCTGTTGTTGGTCTGGAACACACTACAGTCTCTTCCGTTCCTCTGTTTTTCAGTTAAGCTTGCTTATGTTATAAAGCTGAGGTTAATCTCATTTAACTCCACTCTTTCCCCCTCATTCCTGTTCTTGGAATTTATCCCAAAGTTATGTTTGTACAGTGCTAAGGGTATGGATTTTGGTTGGCGTGGCTTAAACTGTTTCAATATCGTACACCTTATTTTAGGGTCTTGTCTCAACTTCTCTCAATTTCAGACAGTCTCTTTTAGGATTTGTATGTGGTTGGTTCTACAGTGGAAGGGAATGGGAGATGAAAGGAAGAGCAGGCCTGGAGTCTGTAACCTATTTTTGCAACTCAGCCTTGGGAGACTGCAATTCATTGCATTTTGAAAGGTTAAAAGTGGAGTGGGGGGGGAAATCAGGGATTGGAATAATTATTCACGGTAGTGGAACCCTTCAGGTTACTTGACTGTTCTTCCCCACCTTCCCCACTTCAGTAGAAGTGAGTAGCAATGCCAGGTTGATTTTTCATCCCCTCCTTCTCTTTGAGAAAGCGAGATGTTTTCCTGGGGGGGGGGGTCTAGTTGGATTTTGATGCTTCGCACAATGATTGTCAGCAGCACAAGCCATACTTGATTCCAAATCAGGACACAGCCACTGCTTCTAGAGTTCTTCTAGGCTTGATTCCAGCTCAGAAGTGAAAGCAAACCGATCTGGCACAGGTCAGACTTGCAAGCACATAGAAGGGTCAGATCTGTAGTGGTTTCTTTCAGGCAGCGACACCCAAATCCGATCATGCTGGAATCAGAGGGGCTTTACAGAAACTGGCAGGCAGGGAGAGAGGCTTCATGGGAGGAAGAGGAGGAGGCGGCTTGGGGTGGGGAAGGGAGCTGCTTAGACTTCTGCTGACCCAACTGCCTTTGGGCTGCCCGTCGTCCCAGATGCTGGTGGAGAAGCTACTGTCCTTGAGTCCTCCTCTCTGCGCTGCTTGCTGTGTCTTTCCCTGGTGGTTAAGAAGGGATGGTAATTCTCTGTGGGAGGAGGGTGCCCAGGGGCTGGAGCATCCCAGCCGCTGCTCCCCACACGAGGACCGCGTGGTTCTGCTGCTGCTGCGAGGCTCCTGCGCCTGCCTGCCTGCCTTCCATAGCTAATCAGAGTTTCTTTACATACCTGTAGCTGTTTTTTAAACTTTTGTTTTGAAGTCGGTTTGTGTCTTGACGTGTCCCTTGCAATATCCCTATCGTTATATATGCTGTGTGCCTTATGAAATGCTGGGATCTGGAAAATCCAACCACCGACGCATCGTCGTCTCTCCGCCTCTGAATGACAACTCAATCTGCCAATCGGAACTGCCCGCTGTGTGCGATTGGTCGGATGGCGTTTCGGGGGGCGGTGTGTGCAGAGAAGCCAACAGAGCAATAAGCGCAGCAGGAGCGTGGAAGATGACAAAGAAGGTCACCTGGTGTGCAGGATCGGCGATTGGCTCCATGAGCGATGTACAGCCACCTTTCGTAAAACTTTACCTCTCTACTTTCTATCCCCATGTTAGACGAGATCGCTCTCAGTGTACGGGAGGGGTCTCTAGTGTTTATTGCTTATAAATGGACTGAACAGTAAATACTTGAAACAGGAAGTAGACAATTGTGTGTTAAAGAGTGTAGCAGTGAGAGCCTTTCTTGAGACTTGAATGCTTTGAAATTGCAGGACCTCACACACTCATTAAGTCTCCAGGGCTCACATCTGCTTTTGTTTTCTCTCCTAGATGAAATTGTGGGGAGCCTGGGCGAAGGCACATTTGGCAAAGTTGTGGAGTGTGTGGACCACGCCAGGTAAGCTGTCCTGGTGATCTTATGTCAAGGAATATTGGGATTTAGGCTTGAGGCTAAAAGAGGATTGTGGCCCCGAGCTCCAGAACTTAAGAGAAGTTGGTGTGGGGTAGATAGTAGTTAATGAGCCCTTTCCAGGTAAGAATTGTGGGTAGTGAACATATTTAAATTAATGAACATGACAAAATTAGGTTTATAAATTTCAGTGACTCTACTGTGAATAAAACTTAGTTGAATGGTGGGGGTAGAGAATATCTGGGTTGGTTCCCACTCCCCTTGTGCACTGTTTCTGCACTGCTTTTAATTCCTGCCTAATGATTATCCTTATTAAAACAACAAATAGAACCAAAGAGCAACATTAAAACAGCGGATCAGCTGTATATGTTATAACCAAGTTAAACCCTAGACAACCAAGACAATAACACAAACTGTGTGTAACAGTTCTGAGCAAAAAAGTTTTTTCCCCCCTTGACCTGTCTTGTGGCAGGTCAGTGGTTGCAAGTGGCATGAGGACCTGGACAATAATCCGTTCTCATTCCATCTGCAAGTGCTTCCCTGCCATGAAAAGAGTGTGCCTAGGTTGGTATGAAATATGTTCCCTGGCTCACTTAAGCTCTATAGGCCTGGCTGTACCAGATGTGACCCTATTGGATTGGATCCAGACTGAGTTAATTGAACTGAATGCCCAATTAAATTAGTAGGACTGATGGCTAACTTGTTTCATTGATTTTAGTGGGAACTGAGTTCAGCTCACTTAGTCTGGATCCAACCCATGAGTAATGAGCAGGAGAGAAAGTTAAAGCCTGGGTCCTCTGCCTTTCAAACTGTAGTCTCCACCCCAGCCTTTCAAACTGTAGTCACATCCAGGACCTTTACTAAAGAATACAATGAGGAATGCTTTACTTCTTTTTTCTTTCTTTAATCTTTGGCTCCATGGGGAGCAATTGCAGAGAAGGGGTTGGAGTTGATTCCTCTCCCTTCAGGATTTTGTTGTGTGACCAAGAGTTAGGCTTGAATTCCGTTGCAGAGATCTCTGCTGTTGTTCCTTATATCTCATTACTCAATTTTTTCCCCTGCCTGCCTCCCCTTCTGTAGAGGCAAGTCTCTGGTAGCTCTGAAAATTATTCGAAATGTTGGCAAATACCGTGAAGCAGCCAGACTAGAAATTAACGTCCTAAAGAAAATTAAAGAAAAAGACAAAGAAAATAAACAGTAAGTCTTGCTATTGGGATTGGGTTGAGGTTGGCTACTCCTTTCCTAAAGGAAGGGTCCAGGTGTGAACTCTGGTCAGTCTGCTCAGTGTGGTAGAACATGAAAGCAACCGGCTCTGCCCACTGCAGGGGAAGCAGAGGATCACCACCTTCCCTCTCCCCTCAGGAATAGTTGGCAACTAGAACTGGTTAGTGCAGTTCTGTTAATTGCTTTGAAATATAGATATTTAACTGCCTGGGTTAGGGCTTGGTGCTTATGCATCCGGGGGGGGGGAGTGGGAAGTCACAGGATGAAAATTCAGTTTTGGAGGAACGTACGTAGTCATTGTCTAGTCCAACCTCTTCTCAATGCAAGATCTGTAGTACAGGATGCAATTAGCTCATGTCTGACACATGCCCACCCAAGCGTCTGATTAGCATCTCCCACAAAGGAGAGCCCTGCACCTCTCAGGGCAGCCTGTTCCACTGTATGAGCTGTCGCTCTTAAGTGATTTCTTCTCATGTTCAGCCAAATCTCCTTCCCTGCAGTTTCCACCCACTAGTTCGAGTTTCGTCCCCTTGCTTGCTCTGTCTTCTGCATGGCAGCCCTTTATATATTTGAAAATAGCTATCCTGTCTCCCCTTAAACGTCCCCAGCTTCTTCCACCATTCTTCATAGGACAGGGCTGGGGAAGCCTTCAGTCCTCCCCATGTTGTTCAGTCCCATTAGCGCCCCGCCCCCTGCATGGCCAGTGGTCAGGGATGGTAAGGGTTGTACTTCAATGTTAGCCAGGGGACCACAGCTTCCCCCCACACTCATAGGGCTTGGATTCAAGACCCCCTCAACATTCTGACTGCCCTCCTCTGGACAGGCTCTAATTTCTCATTAAAATATGCCTGGAACTGGAGACAGTATTCCAGGTGTGTAGTCTGACCAGTGCAGAATATATTGGAACTGTAGTCACGTGCAGGCATTCATCTGAACACGTGTTAAGTGAAACTTGAGGACTGACCTCAGATTTCATCTTACTGGTTTCAGCCCAGTGTTCCAGCCTGGCAAGATACTTTTGAATCTCAAGCCTGTTTGCTGGTGATGATAGCTGACCCTCCCAGCTTCATGCCATTGCAAATTTAATCAGCATTCCCTCTACATCCTCAAGTCATATTTAAATTTTTTGAACAGGATGGATCCCATGCTGGCTTGTTGTAATCAGTGCATATTTTTTTAGACACTCACAGACCAGCTTTTGGAATTTTGCCCAGTTTCAGCATTAGGCTGGCCACTCTTTTGAAGATGGCAACAACATTTGCCCATTTCCCATCTTCAGAAACTGGCCTGTTCTTTAAGAATTCTCAAAAGAATTATCGGCAAGCCCCTTCAGGATGTGACCCTGGAGACTTGAATTCATTTGAAGTAGCTAAATGTTCTCTTATCTCCTTACTTATCCTGAGCTGCTTGTGCCTTCTTGTATCATTTGTTCTAACATTCCCATTGCAGGAGAAGACTGAGGTGGAACAGAAGCTGAGTAGTTCTACCTTAACTCTGTCACCTATTAACATCTCACTGTCTGCTCACAAGCAGCAAATTTTCTTTTTCTTCTTGCTCTGAATGTAGCCAAAAAGCCCTTTTAAAAATGTTATTAGCATCCATTGTAGATCTCAGGCAATGCTGGGCTTTAGCCATGCTACTACATGCTACTGTATCACTTTCGTCATTGCTTATATTTCCAATTCTCAAGCGAAGCGTGTCCTTTTAAAATCTCAGATAATGAGAAAGCTCCTTGTGCAACCACACTGGCTTCTTCAGATGTCTCATTTTTCTTTCTCATTGGAATCGTTTGCTGTTGTACCTTCAGTATTTCAGTTTTTTAAACGCCCCATGCCTCTTGGAGCTCCTCCCTCCTTTAGAATTTCTAGCCATGGATTTTAGAATTCCCACCCAATTTCTTTCTTTGATTTTTGAAATCTGCTACACTCAATTTTTACATCCTTTGCCATCACAAATTCCAAGATGCTATGGTCATCTTCTCCTCAAGGTTCCTGCTGCTTTCACTCCATCAACCAGTTCTCCCTTGTGGGTTACGATAAAGTCCAGAATTATAATACCCTTGTTCCTTTCTTTGCCTTCTGAAAGATGCTATTGTTGGCAGGGCATGGCAAGAATATATTGGACATTCCATTCTTAGCAGAGTTAGACTTCCAAGGGGTGCCAGAATAGTTGGAATCCCCCATTATTGCTATTGTTCACTTATGTGACCATTTTGTAATGTGTTTAAAGAAACCATCACCCATATCTTCTGCTCAGCTGAGAGGTCTGTAGTATACTGCCACAACAATGTCATTTTTGTTTCTCTCTCTATCCTTACCCAGATGCTTTCAACAGGGCTTCCACTCTCAGACTCATGGATTTTCAAGCAGGTGCAAACATTAACATTCTCTGTTATACATCTGTTATGTACATCTTTATCCTCCTTTAAGAGAAGGAAGAATTCCCTGATACCTGTGTTCCCTGCACCCCCATTTCCCCCAGGCCTGCCACTCACACTGATGGGGCCGCTGGCTGTGCTGTTGTGTGTTGGGCCCTGCTGGGTGAGGGGTGGCCTGAGGATGGAATTTTAAAGGCAACTCCAAATGATTCTAGAACAGGATGAGACAGGCAATCATCTATGTGGCCCCCAAGTCTAGCCTCAGCGAGGGAAGGGAATGGGCAGTGTGACCTCAAGAGCCACAATTACAGCTACTGTGTGTTTTTTCTCTCCACTGGCCCAGCCTGTGTGTCCTGATGTCGGATTGGTTCAACTTCCATGGTCACATGTGCATTGCTTTTGAACTCCTGGGCAAGAACACATTTGAATTCTTGAAGGAGAATAACTTCCAGCCATACCCTCTCTCTCACATCCGACACATGGCCTACCAGCTGTGCCATGCCTTGAAGTGTAAGTATGGCATGTGCTCTGCTTGCTTGGGAAAAGAGGAAGGCGGCGGGAGCCTGTTCGAAAGTTTCTTCGCTTCCACCTTAATGCTGTTTCAATATCTTGGAAGTTGGGAAGGCAATATAAACTTGAAGGCAAAGTTTATATTGCCTTCCCACAACCTTTTATGAGCATTTATTTAAATCATTTATATACCCATATAAATCACTAGAACATTTGGGTCTGTAGAATCTTGATTCTATACTTCTGTTTAGTCCTGTTGAAATAGGCTTTGCTTGAGAGCCAAAGTGTATAGCAGGAATGTAAGGCCTCTTAAAACCTCTTTTTTCTCTCTCCCATTTTTCTGTAGTTCTTCATGACAACCAGCTAACTCACACTGACCTCAAACCTGAAAACATACTGTTTGTAAACTCAGAATTTGATACCTTGTACAACGAGAAAAAGGTGGGTTACACCTAAGAGCATAGAAGTTGTAGAATAGCCTGCCCTTTTTGAATGAAAGATAGGGGAGGGGTATTGGGAAGTGGGTGCAGCTGAGGAACTGATGGCAAGGATCACATTCAGCATCTCAGATCACCCAGAAATTGGAGAATGGGATGGGTTACACCTTCCAACTTCTGAAATCTGGGCTCCTTGGCACGCGGTGCGTTGGCTTTTTTGAATGTACACCACCAAGTCTGCAGACTTACAATTTCTTTGTTTTTGAAAGGAAAGGCCCACTGAAGGCTGCAGGGCCTTCTGTCTGGAACTCTCCACCTTTTCAAAGGCAGCTCAGTAACCATGGGTGTGTCTTCTGCATTACAGAGCTGCGAGGAAAAGTCTGTCAGAAACACGTGCATCCGAGTAGCGGACTTTGGGAGTGCCACGTTTGATCATGAGCATCACACCACTATTGTGGCCACTCGGCATTATCGCCCACCAGAAGTGATCTTGGGTGAGTTGGCATTAACTACTATGGCGCTTGGGAGTCGAGTGTAGCAGTTCAAAAAACGGTGGGTGAGTGCTCAGTTTGCAAAATGGGTTGCTTTGCATAAGCAAGAGGAGGAACCTACATGTCAGAGGGGCTTGTGGGGAGGAGTATGCCTGAAATGAAAAGGAGTGAAGCAACTGGGCATCAAGGTTCAAAAGAGGGCAACATCTTTCATAGCAGATAGTTGCGTTTTAGCTTGCTTGGGTGAGCTAGCCCTGTAAGGGGGGTGTCTGTACCTTCACTACAGCAGTTTGCACACACTTTGTGGCCTGCAGATGAACTGGAGATTCTAGTCTGCTGCCTCTGATTAAGGAACTCAGTCTCTACTTATTCCCCCAAATGCGGGTCTCTCCGTGTGACCCATTCAAGAGGGCAAGTGTGAGACCATGCTCAAAGCATGGAAAACACAAATAGGCAAACTATCCCCAACCCCATCCCCACTAATCCCCACCTACTCATAACCCACCTACTTTCAGCAGCCAGAAACACCATAACCAGACACTGGAGAGACCTGTCAGGAGTAAGCATGGACCAATGGTACCAAATAGTATGGGAAACAGCCCTACTAGAAAAATTAACTAATAAACTGAAACTGACACGGGGACAAACAGAAGAAGACGCCTTCACCCCGGTATGGCTCCCCTTATCACATACACAGCCCAACAGGACAATGACAATAATCCACCAACAGCATACAAATCAGTATGGCTAACCTGATCCAAAACACCCACCCACCTCACTCACACATGAAAACAAAGATCACCACAGCCAATCACAAGCAAACAATCACACCCTAGGCCAACCCCAACCTCTCTCACCACCAAAGGAACACAAGTGAACAACACAAGCACGCTGACACCAAACTCGACATACATTAAGCATAATAGAAACACCGCTACCCGACCCCACCCCCATCCATCTTCCCTCCCTCCACCCCCTTTCTTTTTTCTTTCTTTTTTCTTCTCCCCCAATGCCTCAACAAATGAAACGGATTTGTAAAAATGTTACATGAAAAAAAAAAATACGAGGCACTACACTTCTGTAAAACAAGAAAATCCTTAATAAAATATTTATTAAAAAAAAAAGAGGGCAAGTGTGACTTCATCACATTTAAATAATGTTGATGAGTGGGGAGTAAACTTGAAGGGGTTAAGAGGCAAGTGCTAGTTTAGATGTTGCTAATCACCACTTCAGTATCACTATAAATTAACCCGTGGCCTCTTGGTAAGGGCTTGCATCACTTTCACCCCTAAGTGATTTTGCACAAAATCAGTCCTTTATCAACTACAGAAATGGGAGGGCACTTAACAACAAAAATGGTAACTTAAAGATCATTTTGATTTAACCATGGTGACATTTGATGGGTGGAGGGAACGTAGTCCTCCTCAGTCCTTTTTAAACCCACTGACATTCTCACAAAGTGGCCAAAGAATATATTTTTGGGGGGTGTTTCCCCCCCTCCTACAATTGCATTCACCCTTTAGTCACACTTGCTGTTACTGAACAGTAGGGGGCACAGTCCCCAAGATGTGCAGAGGGCATAGTAGCCAGAGCATATCTACACAGTCTGCATACAATGCAGGAGAAAGGCTGTGCCCTGAAGCCTTGCGCAGAGACCGCCTGCCACATCCTGAACATGCAGGCTGACCCGCATTGCCCTCTTCCGCTGAACATGCACATCAGCATGTGAATTCCCACCCACTGTCAATTTGCAGTTCTTTCCAAACTCTGTTGTGGCTCACCTTGTGTAAGACAGAGCAGCAGTTCCTTTCTTTTATGGAGCTGAAGGATGGCATCATTACTCGTCCAACCTTTTCCCGCTAATGGGCAGGAAGGAGGAGATTGCATAAGGAGGAATGTGCTACCATCTACTTTCACTGAGCTCAGCAGATATCCCCATTGCAGTGGTTTTTTTTCCTGGTGGTTTTTTCCTTTGGTAGATTCCCTCAGCCCCCTTTTAAAGGGCAAACCACTGAAAGGTTTTCCTTGGCTGCTGAGCAGGAAAGCCCTACTTAGCAACTGAAGAACAAAATGGTGGCATTTGGGTACAGAGTAGAATGGCAGTCTTCATTCTGTATTCTCCTTTGCAGAGCTGGGTTGGTCACAGCCGTGTGACGTCTGGAGCATCGGCTGCATCCTCTTCGAGTACTATCGTGGATTCACACTCTTTCAGGTACAGGAATTGCTGTCCTCCTTTTTGGACCAATTCAGCATTGTAGTTTGCTTTCTGCTGAATAACCTGCTGCGTACTTCTCAGTACAATATTGTTTATTGGTTTTTGCTCAGTGGAAAGAGCTTTGCGGAGAGCAGAATAAAATCATTGAATCTTCCCCAAAAGCTGGCCTGGCTACACCAAGGGATAGAGATGGCACCAGAGTGTCCAGTATTTGCTGAAAGGGAGGACCCCACCAGGATGCAGGCCCTATGGTGTTTTTTATAACAGCCAAGAGGTTTTACTTGAATGGCTACAGTTCCTTGCTCTGCCTGCCAGGTTTTTCTGCAGTTTGGCTCCTGCTCTGCAACCTAGAGATCTAGTTGTGCTTTTGAAGACATTACCCGGCATGTTTTCCCCTTCTGTTTAAGGGGTCTTTGCTTGTTCTTTTCCTTGTAAAGTGCTGGAGAAATCACTATCACAAATAGGCATTTTAGGCATTAGCATGCTACTTACTGCAAAACCCCAAGGCTGGGGTTGTTGGAGAGAACAGTGGGCCCGGTCACCTCTCCCAGTTTCCTGGAAATGCTGTCATACATTTCACTCCTTATGGAGTGACCATTTCCCAAGAGGTATATAAGATGAGCCTTGCTGAACCAGACCAAAGGCATGCCTGGTCCAGTATCCTGTCTCCCACACCAGCCAGCCAGATGCCTGGAAGGGCTGTAGCTCATGATTTGCATGTGAAAAGTCCCAGGTTTCATCCCCGGCATCTCCAGGTAGGGATTGAAAAGATTCCTGCTTGAAGCCCCATACCTGCCCTGCTAAGTTCAGCATATATTTCTCTCTCTGCAGACTCATGAGAATAGAGAGCATCTTGTGATGATGGAGAAGATCCTTGGCCCAATCCCACAGCATATGATCCGCAAAACACGGTAGGAATGCTTGGTTTTGACTGGTAAATAGGTGGTCCCCAAATTAGAGAGAGGCACTTTGGGCAAATAAACAAGGTCAGTGAGATTTGTTGACGATTTAATATGGACTCTCCTGTGTTTTATGCTCTCAAAAAAATTACATGAGGCAGCAAGGCCTGTAGATGACATGTTTAGATGCGCAACTCAAGTGCTCTGTACATTTTTAGAGGCAGTCTATGGATTTATTCAACTGCTTGGGGGGAAGATGCCATTTCTTTTGCCTAACTCAGCCCAGTACATGTGTTCAATTTAAGCTCTCTCTCCTCACCCAGGAAACAAAAATATTTTCACAAGGGAAGTCTGGTATGGGATGAGAACACCTCTGATGGGAGGTATGTCCAGGAAAACTGCAAACCATTGCAGGTAAGAACCACTTGATCTGCTCTGGTCAGAATGTATTAAGCAGTTCTTTATGCAAATACTTGTTTGTAACTGAGCACCTGAAAGCTAAATTACCGTATTTTTTGCTCTATAAGACTCACTTTTTCCCTCCTAAAAACTAAGGGGAAATGTGTGTGCGTCTTATGGAGCGAATACAGGCTGCGCAGCTATCCCAGAAGCCAGAACAGCAAGAGGGATTGCTGCTTTCACTGTGCTGCGATCCCTCTTGCAGTTCTGGCTTCTGAGATTCAGAAGATTTTTTTTCTTGTTTTCCTCCTCCAAAAACTAGGCGCGTCTTGTGGTCTGGTGCGTCTTATAGAGCGAAAAATACGGTACTCTCATTGTGTTCATCCGCATTGCTTGCTTCTCAGCAAGGCCTTTGAAACAGGAAACCAAGCCCATTAGAAACACCATCTTCTGAATATACTGGACCTTTCTTTTATCTGCTTCCATCTTTTCTGCTCGTGGGGATGCAGAGTGGAATAATTACGTTCCACTCTCCCCATCCCATTTTTTCTGCATCACACCTTTCCACATACCAGGTAGGAGCTTTTCATGAGGACGACACTCCACTTTTGTGGCTGCGAGAGGACTCTGTCAACTGAGCTCCTGGTCTCGTATTTTTTTGAAAGAGCTTTGTTTACTTTCCCCCAAAACTCTTAAGCCTTACCACTTCTTGATGCAGTTATAACCTGTGTAATTCTGCTTGTATTGATAAGTGAAGCAGAAAACATGCAAGCCAGCCCATACTGTCCGTAAGCAGTTTTCCCACCCTAAAGAAGAGTTTTGTCTTCTGGGGTGTTGCAGGATAGCTCTTCACAAGTCTACCACAGCACCCTGTTGGCTTGATAATGCTGGGCAGATTTTGTGAATGTGTGCTTGCATGGAGAAATTAGTCAACCCATCCCTAACAGGAGCTACTAGTGGTGACTAACGATATACTGTTTGTCCCTCTTTTGAGAAACCCCAAATGCTTTGACTTTGACTTTCCTAAATTGTGTGTATTCATCAACTGGCAGGTGCCTCTTTGCGCACCTGTTTCTCTTAGCCAAGATGGAGAGCCAAGGTATGTCTCCATAGCCAGAAGCCCTTGGAACTGCATCAACAGTGAAAGCTGAGCTCCTCTGGCATTGTGTGCTTCAGACAGCCATGATGCAGGTGCAGCCCTGCTGGTACAGGACTACACTGGGTAGTCTTAGGACTACTTAGGACACTTTGTGTTGCCTGCTACTCTGCCACTACTAGTTTTACAGTAAAAGTCCTGGGAGAGCGACTTATTAAACTCCCTATTATTTAGACCTTACACCAAAATAATAGAGCTTGGCACTATTGTAATCACATAACTTGGTTTCCTTTAATACTCCTGGGCAACACTAAACCAGTTCTCTCCATTTGTTGTTTTTTAGTTGTGTCCGACTCTTCATGACCCTATGCTCTGGTCTAATTCCTCCCCTGCTTATTCCTTTTTCTAGACATACATGCTGCACGATTCTGCTGAGCACATGCAGCTGTTCAGTCTGATGAGGCAAATGTTAGCGTTTGATCCTGCCCAGCGGATCACGTTTGGCGAAGCTCTGCTCCACCCGTTCTTCGCTGGCTTATCTGCAGAGGAAAGGCGGCTTAGTTGCCGAGATTCAAACCGGGACCTGAGCAGATGACAGATGGGGATCATGGAGATTCCTGCAGGATGTGTACATACTCCAAGACTGGCCTGACATTTATTGGGGAGACTCCAGAGACCCTTCTGTAGCAGCGTTCCAAGGGGTTGGTGCAATGTCAGGAGGACCCTGGGCCTGGGCGGGGGGGAGACAGCAACCCAAAAGCACAGATTTGTCTCATATATTTATATGTTGTAAAGTTCAAATAAAGTGTTTCATATTGTTTGATAATTTACTTGTATGACTGTGTCCAGCTATTTTTGCTCCCTGCCCTACTGAATTTTTCTGTTAACAATAAAATAGTGGTTTTATAGCTTGCCACCAATCTCTGCTGGGCGTTTACAAAGTAGTTTCTTCCTTGCTGTGCTATCAGCCATCTTTTCTTTACAAGAAACCTGCATGAAGGAGGGAAAGAGGATGGAGGTTTGTTCCCCCCGCCCCCAATTGCTTCCTTCATATTGTGTGGGTAATGCAATCTTAGCTATTGCCTGCATTTTGTCACAGGTATGTGCTTGTTCAGTTCACTTCAAAGTTTTGGAGGAGCTTCAATCGGGCAATTGTTTGGAAGGCTTTATGCCCTGAATTATGCCTGTAAAAAGGCATCTCAGGCCATCTAGCAGGCTGTCCTGCCATTTTGGTAAATCAGAGATGGATATAGGGCAGATAAGTGGCTTGATCAATTCTAATAGTAAAGCTTTGGTCAGTGTAGGTTCTCAGTGGTTGTAATAAACATCTGTTTTTCTCCTAGAGGTACAGGGTTCTCTTTTAAAATGTTTTGGCATGAATGGAAGGTTCTTGGAAGAGTGAATCTGCATTTTCCATTATAACTGTAGTTGGGAGTTTTTAGGAAATAAAATTAGCGAAATCATTTACATATTGAAGTGAATTCTATTTTTTCTCAAATACATTGAGATAATAATTATGCCTTTAAGTCAAAGTCTTCTTGTGATTGTCTCTTTTGGACCCAAGATGGCTGCAGGAAAGTGTGAATGAACTATGGTCACTTGTAAGCAAGAAAACCAGTTTCTGCACTCTAGAAATGAAAACACAGAAGAACAACTGCTTTACTGCACATTTTAATCATTGTGATTTGTGAGAGAGTTCTGTATGGCACCTTTAGAGACAAGAAGGTCAAGCATGGCTGATTTCTCAGAGCTAACAGGTATTCAGCTACTTAACAGTGTATTGCACCCCTGAACTCTAGAAAAAGCCTGGCTACAAACCAAAATGTTCTGCTGGCAGCATTCGGAATAAGAACAAGCCAGTGACAGCAATGAGTTGGTCCCCAGAGAGCAACACAACGGTGTGCCCTTCCCACTGAAGAACGGCACATCGGGAGAGGGAGGCAGTAGCTGAGATGCACAATTCACCAGTGGGTCATTATACAAGCTCATGCCTGAAGCACAAGAGGAACTGACATCGGTGCAAAAGCAACATGCAGGAAGAGGCGGCTTTGCTTGGCCATTTGTCTCACTCCACAGGCCTTTAAATCTTAAGCCGCTTCTGTTCCAATGCCACTTTGCAACTGGTCTGCACCGCTAGACAAAGCCCCATCACATTTCATTGCTTCACTTAAAAGTGTAGCCATGTGCTTGTTCTGGACATATTGAGAGGGAACAGGACAGTGCCACCATCAAGAACATGAATTTTTCTATGGGTTTCAAATCCAGTGGCAGCTAGACAGTCTCAATATTCTCATACACTCTCATACACACACACACACACACACACACGGGCCCTGGGAAGTAGGTATTTTTTTTAAAAAAGGAGCAGACGCCAGCAACGTGAATTCTACAGTAAGATGGCAGGACACGACTTGTGGAGAAGCACAAGTAACAGCACCAATGAGTCTGCTTCCTCAGTCTTCTTTTTAAGCCACAAGTATTGCAACCGCATTATCATTCACTCAAATAAGCAAAAAGGAAAAAAGTGTGTGCTGGCAGTGGCTCAGAGACACAATTGCTGCTCTACAAACTCTCAAGCTGCCAGCAGGAGAAGTAGGTGTCTCCCACCACCTGCCTAGGCTGAGCAAGCCAAGGTACCATATAGCTTGAGAGACGGGGCTGTAGCTGCACAAGAGAGGGGTGCCCTGGTGGCAGCAGGACAGCCCTCATTCCCACATGATCAGCAAGGGGGACACATGTCCCCTGCCAGTCCTGGGGGGGAAAGGAAAAATGAAACCATACTGTCAGCTGCATATCTGAACGGGCAGGGGCACCTGCATGTGTAAGCAAGCACGCACCCTGCCCTCCCACCACCAACTTGCCGAGCTGGTTGAAGACACCAGCTGCCTCTGCGTTCCTTCATGGCATCAGGAGAGCATCAACGGCTCAGAGGAGCACGAGCCCTCTTGGTTCTCCTCAATACTGATATTTCTTTTGAAAGAAACACAGCTGAGAACTTCCAACATCCTTAAGGCTTCAAAGAGTTTTAATATGGTCAGGATCAGTCGTGCGGTTCAAGGCGGTTCTGCCCCACTTTCCTCTTCGGGGCCAAAGCCCACCCCCCACTTTAGGTAGAGTGCAAAGGGATGACAAACTTGCAGCCGAAAGGCGAGTGGTAGTTTATCCCCACCTCCTGGAAGACTTTCTGTGGAATGCCGATGTCACACAGGTACACACGCCCAGCCCTCTCACCTAGGGGCAGTGGCAGCCCCAGGGACAGAGACCACTTGGCGTCGATCCCTTGCTCCATGTCATTCACCGGGGGGTCCAGGCTGAGGACGGGGGCTCTGTTTTGGTTGGCCCAGTCCACAGCAGCCTTGTACCAAGGCTGGTCCCTCAGGAAGGCATTTTCATGGCAATCCAAGCAGTTTATCACCAAGTCAACTGGTGAGTCTGGAAGATCTGGGGAGCGGGAGGAACAAGAGAGCACTTTACATGTTTGTCAAGTAGACACCTTATAAGGGACTTTAGGAAAGCCTCCCCAAGACTCTTCTAGCAGGCTGCCCAGCCGTCAGCAGAGCCCTGCAGGATGCTTCTAGGAGGCTCACAGAAGACGACATGCAGGCAATGCTCCTCTCCTGCTTATAACAACTGGGCCCCAAAGGCAGGCAGCCTATGAACAGGAATGTCCCTTACAGACAGCAGGACTAACACCCACCCATAGATCTGTCCTCTACAACTTTTTCAAAACTCCTTTTGAATAAAGTCTAAAATAGGCATGTATTTCAAGCCCCAGGAATAAAGTCTAAAATAGGCATGTATTTCAAAGCCCCAGGATTTGGTTAGCAGCTTGTGCAACTGACCCAACTCGCCTCTTTCCAACTAAAGTGTTCCCTACAAGTCCAGTGGGTATAAAAATGGCTTAGCTCCTTGCCAGTAGATGGCGCTGCTGCATTAGAGGTTGCCTCCACAGCCCCACAAAGATCACATTAGCATCTACAACCTGTCCCACTCCATCACTTGACCCCCAGAACCTATACAAAGCCAGGATGCAGTGGCAAAAGTGCACCACTTCAGTCTGCGGGGAGGGGAGACGGCAGTACTAGATTCTTCTGCTAACAGAAAAGCAACTGCTATTTCCTTTCTTGGAAGCTGTGAGCTTGTGCTAAGCAGCCATGATTTAGCTTGGCAGGACACATGGACTGGGCCAGTGCACACTTTTATCTTTCTTTATTCAGCTGACTTGAGGCTTTGGCAATATAGCAAATAATTGTTATTTCTATATATTTAGAAAAACTATCCATGGCTGCACCCGGCTCACCTTTGACACTGGACACCTGTTGGCCTTGGGTCTTGCTAAAAAGTGTCAGCTCGTTGGTGATCGATTCCAACATCTTGACAAAGTTGGGGAGGAAGAGAATGACATGCACATCATGATTGGAAAGATGCCGGCCACAACTGATTCCCTGGGCCCCCTTCACGTGAGGGCCACACAGCAAGGCAACCGTGGGTCGCTGGTGAATGTTTTTGGGGTTCAACCTGAAAGTTAGATGTACAAAGGGTCTTAAACATCAAAAGCAGTTTCCTCAAACAAAAACTTGCCTTCTTAATGGGAGAGGAGATACTTTCAAAATATTTAAGATTCATGCAACCAAGGCTCAGAAGTTAAGACATACAATAGTCACAATAACTCCTCAGTCACTCCATAATTTCCCAAACAATTCTCTCTTTATTCAGAAAGAAACACCACTGAATTCAAATGCAGCTTTCTTCCAACTAAGCATGCAAAGGTTTGCAGTGTCACAAGGGCATGTGTTAGCAAAACGCAGCATTGCTGATTAGGAAGCTAGGTTTTAAAATAATGAAACTGCTTAGTGGTTTTTAAAATACTGGAATAACAATGTTTTCATGATGATCAAGGGAGATAAAAATCTCATGTTTAAATCTCACAATCCCTGTGTAACTTCCAGTTTTCTCTTCTGCTTTGCAATCAGCCAGGCTGCATCACTGCCAAACAAGTTCCTGGGTCAGGTCGCTCTGAGGTAATCTTGCATGGAGGGACTGGAACAACTGCTCTCCAGACGAAGTAGACCAAGAGTCAGTTCTTAGGGACAAAGCCCTAACTTGGCTAGTTTCTTTCAGAGCCAAACGCCCAGCACAGAATGTCAGAGGTGTAAGGACCCCAAGGACTATGTAAGTTCAAGCCCTTGTAGAAATTCATCCACAAAGCCAAGGCCTGCCATGAGCCAGAGCTAACAAGGCAGATGACACTGGATGAGTTAACAAATCAGCTCCAGGTGCCTCACAAAGAAAACCATCCCAGGCACTACAAGGAATTACACCCTGAACACAGTTCCTGTGTCTGATTGGCAGGGAACCAAGAACAGCTGAAAGCCAAGACCCAGGCTTCCAATCCACAATAATAGCCATATGGCTAGACTGGCTTGCAGCATGGCAGGTCATGTCATTTAGAATTCTGTGATTTTCACAGGAAGCCTGCAAAATCCACTGAGGCTTGCTACTTTCTAGGAAAGGTGTTTTACCTGTTGGGCCCTCCGAGCAGACTCAGAGCCATCTGGCTGGCACATACCCCCGTCATTTCCAGTCTCCGTTCAAGGGTGAGCCCATATTTCTCTGCCACCGAAAGAAGTTTTTTGTGAAGCTCATAGGAGATACTTGGAACGACCAGCCCAGAGTCTGAAATGAAGAAGGGAGGGAGCCATTTGTTAGGAGATGCTTGGCAAAAGCAGCATTGCTCTTCAGGTCCAGAGCCTGAGCCTGAGACAGCACTCACATGCTCATTTTTTGCATTAAGAACTGGACCATTCTAAACATGGTCACCCAACTGCCCAGAGGCTTTGGGACAAACAGACACAACCAACAGCTGTATAACTCACATAAATTTCAGTTAACCTGTCAGCGATCCCATTTCTATACACCAGCATGGAAACAAGTCTACAGGAGAGAGGTTTGCATCGTAAGTGTGCATGTCACGTCTTGGGATTATAGGATACCAAAGGCTAGTGCAGCAAACTGGGGAAGACAGAAGGGGAACATCTAGTAACATTCAAAATGCAAAGTTTCTGGTGAGATCACACACACACATACCCCTTGAAGTGTGCCTAGAATTGTCTTTTAAAAAAATGCTGATGAAACCTTCAAGATCCAAAATTCTATAGAAATGAAATGAAGCATGATATGCTTTACGGTAATCTGTGCTCATCAGTCCTTTGTAACTTCATGCAGATGTAAACGGAAGCTTCTGAAGTATGAAGAAGCTGCTTTATATAAAGCCCAGCTGTTGACCCACCTTGATCAGTACTGCCTGGTCTCAGACAGTGAACCATCCCCAGGGCAGGATGCATGAGCTGCAAGGAATAAACCTTTGCTCTGCCACTGAGTGGTGATCCTTCCCTGCCATATATCCAAACCTATCTAAGCCCACTATCTACTCTAGAAAGGCACTGGGCACTCCAATGTCTCAGGCGGCCTTTCCCAGCTTGGCTATCCGTGTTCCAAGGGCTCTGGGTCCGAAGGCACCAGAGGCCACCACCTCACTGGAACAAAGCATGTCTAGGTCTGATCAAGTGCCTGAACGGGGGATTTGATTCGACACTTGATCAGGCACCACAGGCACACTGCCTTGGGTTCAATGATGGGGGAAAGGCAGGATGTAATAGAGTGCAATACAAGAAAGCAAAGATAATTTATACATTTCACTTCACTGGAGATGCCTGGGACTTAACCTGGGACCTTCAGCACATAAAGCAAGCCCTCTACCACTAACGCTAGAACTTGTGGGCATCCAATGAAGCTGAGTGTTGGAAGGTTCGGAAGGGATACAAGAAAGTCATCCTTCATGCACTGCACAGGTAAAGCGATGGAACTTGCTCCCACAGGAGGCAGTGATGGCCACCAAACTCATGTGATTTTTAAAAATTAGACAAGCTCATGGGGGATAAGGCTATTGATGGCTACTAGCCATGACGGCTATGCTCAGCCTCCAGTTTGTTGCAGCAATGCTTCTGAATACTAGTTGCTGGAAACCACGAGGGGAGGGGAGCCCCTGCACTCGAATCCTGCTTGCAGGTTTCCTACAGGCAACCGTTCAGCCACTGTGAGAAGAGGGTGCTGGACTAGAAGGGCCATTGGCCTGATCCAGTAGGCTCTTAAGTTCTTACCGCCGAGATATGGCTCTCCATAAGTATGTGTTTTGTTGTGCTTTCCTCTAGCTCTTCTCACCATAAAGATTCAGTATAGCTGTGCTTAGCGCAACAGATATTCAGCAATGACACACGCATGCACATGTTTTTAGAAACACTCACCTCAAAGTACAATCAGAGTCCCAAATGTAAGTAGACAGGAGTGTGTTTTCTCACAGCCATGTGGGTGACCCCAGTGTATGCTGTTATTATAGGGAAAGAGTACTGCTGCATCTAGCTCAGAGCTGTCTGCTCTGACAGGCAGTGGCCACACGGCACACATCCTCTTTATCTACCCTTCTTTGGGTATGCATTCTACTGAAATCAGTGGAACATTCTTCCAGTCAAGGATGGTTAGGTCATCATAGCAACACAGAATCCTTAAATGAGGCTGTATCAGTCCTGCGAGAAAAGCGGCTAGTCACTCAAAAACAGGGTTCCCTCCAAGTGTTCTTGGACTGCAAATCCCATCATCCTTTACCATTGTTCAAGTTGGCTGGGGCTGATGGGATTGGCAGTCCACCCATGGTGGCTACACCTGCTCTACATAAACAAAGAGCTCTGCAGAGTCCCACTCCACGGAGGGCCAACTGAAGTTGAAATGTCAAGGTTTCGGTTTGTTTTTTTAACAGCCCCTGTGACCGACATGGGAAAGGCAAACTGATTTACACAACTTGACCTTGCATGTTAAGAACCAATTAAGATAATTGTGTTGCCTTAATCAGTTTTATTGCATGCAGCACCCATGTTAATGCTGCTGTGTTATTTTAACCAGCTTCAGGGTGGTCCATAGTCTGGAGAAAAAACCCAGAACATTCAAAGTCAATCTAGTCTCACAGCATTCACCAGCCTCCTTGCTTTTCAAACAAGGTTCAGCAGTAGTGTTTTGCTTGTAAGCAAAGACTCTCATAGCAATAGCTTAAGGGACAGCTATGTCTTGGGGGTGGGCAACATATTCCCAGGTTTGAACTCACACTACCTGATCTGCGATGCACAGAGGTGATTTTCAAGTTTTGCAACACAGTTTTCTAACCAGGCCTTGGCTAACTCCTGTCAGATCCTTTCAACTTCTGTGTCTTGTACCATGTGGAATATTCCTTCCTTCCTAGTAACAGTAATCAACCCACCCCCCGGCTCAGTTACTTTGCAACAAAGCTGATAAAGAAGCTGCGTTCTGAACATTTTAGAAACGGTGATGGCATATAAGTATTTTTAGAAATAAAACAATGAGCAGCCCTGCCCTGTTTGATCTGAACAGCACATCTAGACCAGAGTGCTGTTTCCTCCAGTGATCGGCCAGATGTCTCCAGGAAGCCCCACAAGCAAGGCAAGAATGCAACAGCCCTGCCCAGCAACTGGCATTCAGTGCTGCCTCCAAACATGGAAATTTCATGGCCCCATCACAGCCAGTAGCTGCTCAGATCTATCCTAAATTTTGCCCAATTCCCTTTCAAAGCTTTCTGTAAGCTGGTAGCCATCACATCTTGTGGCAGCAAGTCCCAGAAAGGCTCAATGAAGGCATGAAAACAGATAAGAGAGAAGGTTTTCAAGAGAGGGTTTCAAATAGTTCTAAGAAATCTGCAGACCAGTTCTATGCACTATTGGATCAACTTATTTCAAGGAAACATCCGAACAGGGATGACAGAAGTACCATCACATTGAGATGTTCTCCTGAGCAAGATCTGCTGAAATAAATAGGAGCTGCATAAGGGGACTGTTCTGTGTGTAGAACTTCTTTGCAGGATTGCACACATTTAAAGGATGCATTTTGTTTTTGCTGGGTGGGCACCACAACCTGCAAGAAAAGAGGACCCGCATGGGTGTCACCACGTGCCCACTCTGCTAGTGTCTGTTTGCCTTTGGGAACTCTCCATGCTCCACTCTCCCCCATTCAAGGGGATGTTGTTTGAAGTGGAGGGAGAGATAAGGTGTGAGATTACACAGCATTGTTGCATGCAATCCCAGCAAAGCAAGAGCTCTGTTACACTTTGCCCTAATTGATCTTTGGCATGAGCGTGCAAGTACCAAGAGGACTTCCTTTCTCCTCACTCACGCAAAGGACAACTTGTCAGACCGGCTTATCAAAACCAGACCAGACCGTGCTAAATAAACTCAGGGTGGAAGGCAATCTAAGAGGTAGCGTGTAACTCTGGAAAACAACAATAGTGCCGCAAATGAGGGCTGGATCAAAGCCAGACTCAAATTACACTTGTGTTAGAAGGTGGATTGTATTATTCCATAATTAAGGTAATAAAAGCAGATCGAGCTCACACAGCCTGGTGTAGAACACTGGAAGGGACACTGCCCACTCCTTCCTTGTTCTGCTCCTTCCCTGCCTCCCACCCTCATGGCTGCTCGTTTCCTTTTCCTCTTGTGAAGTGCTGTGCTGTTTGGGGTTTGCCTTGTCCCCATCAATGCCACCTAATAGTTACAAGCAACAGTAACAAAGCAGAAGCATCATTCTTCCTTTATAAGAAACACTTTCTTGCATTGTTCAGCCTGGACACTGAGGTTCAGCTCCAAGGGTCTTCTGGCAGTTCCCTCACTGCAAGAAGTGAGGTTAAAGGGAACCAAGCAAAGGGCCTTGTCAGTAGTGGCACCCGCCCTGTGGAACGTCCTCCCATCAGATGTCAAGGAAACAAACAATTATCTGACTTTTAGAAGACATCTGAAGGCAACCGTGTTCAGGGAAGTTTTTAATGTTTGATGTTTTATTGTGCTTTTAATATTCTGTTGGGAGCTGCCCTGGGTGGCTGGGGAAACTCAACCAGATGGCTAGGGTATAATAATAAAATTGTTGTTGTTGTTGTTGTTGTTGTTGTTGTTATCTGCAATAATCCTTCCAGTAGCTTGCAAAGGAGGTCAGTGTCACCACTGTCTAACTGTTTGGGAGGCCACCAAGGTTCAGGGTTCAGTGATGCATCTGGGTCCAGCACTGGCAGCCAGTATGGTGTAGCAATTGGAGCACCCTGCCCTCCCACTACATACCTGGTGCCCTCCAGAAGTTGCTGGAGTACATTTTCCATCCCTTCTGACCACTGGCCATGCTGGCTGGGAATGATGGGAGTTGGAGTCCAACAACATATGGAAAGTGTGAGCTAAAGTTGTCAGGCTAGGACCAGGGAGACCTGGATTCAAACCTCGCTCAGAGAAGGTGGCAAAAACAGCTGAATCCAATCCAAATATCAGCAGCCACTATAGCAGTAAAGTTGCAATGAATGCAAGTATTTTAAGGACAGACGCCCAGAAAAGGAAAAGCTAGGGCAGCACAGTGGCTAAAGGCATGATCTGTGAACCAAGAGGCCAGTCCTTCAAGTCTCACCTCAGCCATGAAAGTCACGGCATGGCCTGATCCAAACCCACTATCCCTCTTCATCAGCCAACGCCCCTTCAGCCCCTGTAATGTGGGGTGCTACTGGCCTGCTCTGTAGAGCTGCTGTAAAGATTACGTGAATATATGTGAAGCCCTGAAAGTTCTATATTAAAGCCAAACACTCATAAACAGTCACATCTTTGCATGCTTACCTACCTATGTGGGAGACGGAGTGTTTTTGATCCAATCCATGAAAGAAAAAGGGCCGTGAGGCACAGAGCAAGTGGCCCAGCACAGATAAAAACCAGAACAGCCACATTTGTATTAAACAGACATTCCCTTTCAAATCATCCCTCAAAGAAGCCGCTGTGTTCAATTTTAAAAAGCCAGCATACCAGTGCAGAATTCTTTGCTTGCCTGGGGCACAGTGATTCTGCGATACACGATAGGCTCAGATTCCAAGATATTCTCATCATGGCGATAGCGTGCAGATCTCTCGTTTGGAGTGCCTCTTGAGCGAGTCCCACTCTTCCTCTCGTAAGTGTCAATCTCCTCAAACACAGCTGCCTTGTCAAAGAGGGCCAGGTTCCCTTCAAAATCAAAATCTGTATCTGGGATTTCTTCAATGTCATCCCCAAAACACTCATCGTCTTTGTTCTTCATCTGCCCATTCTTCACACCACTCTTCTTTGGAGTCACCTGGTTTGGATGGCGGCTACTGGAGGACCCTGAAGTAAAGGACATGGCAAGTCAAGGATTAGTCAACAAGGAAAGCAGATGTTTATGAAAACAAAGAACACAAACTGTCGACTGCACAAGATGGATTCTAGACTACTTTGCCAAATGATGCAAAGCCACCCACCACATTATGTTTCAAACTGCCCATAAGGCCAGTGTTTGAAATTTCCCAAGCGCCAGGTGCATTTTTCTACTGGTGTGGGTCCAATTGTAACCAGGTGTAGATTTCTGAGCACCAGGTTGGCAACTGATATCTCCAACGAGCCAGCTGATTCATGGGCAGCAGAAGATGCACGTATTGTTCTTCTGTACTCCCACAAGAATTAACTGGCTCGCATGGTAGCAAACTTTGCGCTGCAATCCTAGGCACACTTTCTTGAGGGTAAGAAAGCTCCTCTGGACATGGAGGGGATTACTTCCAAGCAAACATGCCTAGGAGGAAAGAGGGCAAAGCGTGTTTCTCCTTGGGCCTACATCGCCAAGCTTGCTCAGCCCTGCGCACCCATCTCTCGTGAGGCAGTTTCTCGGTGCCTCAAAACAGCCATGCTGGGCCACCCAGGCCGCCCTGAGAAGCACTTCTGCACTGCAGGGTCAGGCTGGGCTCTGGCAGTAGACCAGGGCAGCGGTGGCACATTCTTTCCAGGCGCAGTGGAGGAAGGACACCTCTGCCACGGGTTTGGCTCGGCTTCCCCAGGTCCACTTAACTGTAGTGTGAGGGTGGCCCCACCCACTTTTCATGTGGGTGCCACCCTGCATCCCCCTACCCTTCTTCCTTGAAGAAGAGCTGCCCCTTCCCATTTTTTTCTATCCTGATCAAAACCAGCACTGCATTATGAGGCCTGGGCTAGAGCCTTGTTAAGCTTTTGACAATTCAGTCCTCTATCATCACATCAAGGAAAGTAAGTGCAGGGCTGAGTGCAAAGATATTTGACTGTTCTGCAACCTTTCCAAAGGACACCCAAATGGAACTCAGACAACATTTTAAAAACCTCTGCCTTAGTCTATAGTTTACACCGTTTCCATTTCCACGGTGTGTGTTTCTCCTTGCATACAGGGACATGTGAATTGTATTAAGAGCAAACTACAGTCAGGCAATGTAGTTGGCATCACAAAATCATAGAATTGTAGCGTTGGAAGGGCCTTGAGGGTCATCTAGTCTAACTTCCTGGGGACCGTAACCTAGGTTTAGGATGCTATTTGACGCCTAGCTTATACATCCGAGTTTCTAACACTGCATGAGACTTGTCTGTCTGACCAGCCTATTCTTGTTTCTTTCAGAACATAGTTCACTCTGCCTCATTGACTCAAGCATTATCAATGAAAAACTGTTGATCTTGCCCAGTTGCTCTGTATTGTCTTGCTCTCCCATGGCTCTCTGGGAGTCACTGCCAGAGACATTTAGAGCATATGGATGGCACACAGCTAAACCAAGAAGCCCACTGCCACTCTTCCTAGTACCAACTTTCAAATGGGAAAAGAGCAGGGGATTATCACATGGGGGAATGGCACAGGGAAAGATCTTAGCAAACTCAAGTTTTGGCTTGGCTACCAAGGCCAACCAAAAGTTATGGACATCTAGGAAACGGTTTGACACTTGTTTTCCAGGAAGACCTTGCCTGGTCTCTCCAGCCCCTAAATTTCCACCCTTACCTCATCCAACAGCATGAGTTCAGAAAAGCAAAGCACAGTCACCCATGGAGGCACCTGATAGAAAGAGGTCAGCTCAATCATGCAGCCCCCCTGTTTACGTGCATTCAAAATGTGTGCAACTATGTATACGTGCAGGCATAGGCAAACTCGGCCCTCCAGATGTTTTGGGACTACAACTCCCATCATCTCTGACCACTGGTCCTGTTAGCTACGGATGATGGGAGTTGTAGTCCCAAAACATCTGGAGGGCTGAGTTTGCCTAGGCCTGTATACATGCATCGCACTGAACCCAGAAGTGACCCAGAAACATCATAAAGACGACACTGAAACATCACTAAAAGAGCAGGGTGGGATGTTTGCAGGCATTTTCAATGGGTTTCAATACATGATTTCAGACGCATGCGGTGCCTCGGAACTTAACACCTGTGTAAATGGGGGGCTGCCTGTATACTCTGCTGCTGCCAGCTCCAAACTGAGTGTTTAGATATTTCCAGACTCATCTGCAAATAAACTGTGTTCTACTTCACAGCTCTGTCACCCCCTCAAAAAACAAGGACATAAAAACACCCACAGTGGCTAATTCCAAAGGGTATGGGTGGACAGCCTGCCAGGAATCTAAATGCTGACAGAACAAAACAAGCCACAAAAGCAGGAAAAACAATAGTCAGAACACTCTCTATGGGCTCCCATGAGACATCCTGAATGAAGGCCAAGCTCCAGCTCCACCAGAGTTAAATACACAGTGATTGTGGAGGTCAGCCATGTAATCCACCCTCCTGACAGCCAGTTCTGAAAACTTGCTGACAGCTGCAACCAAAAGCGACATCACTTGCATAACTTGGCCACCATAAATATGTTGTTACGTCCCTGAAGGACCAGTCAAGCTCTGAAAGGGCTTATATTTTTGACATAGGTGGACAGGGATGGTGGTTGCATGAAGCTTTTGGGTCTACATAAGGAAAAGCAATTGGAGTGAGTAATCTAATAAACAGGATGCATGCTCTTTTCACAACTGGAAGCTATGCCACAAAACCAAGGGATCCACTGTGAGTAGCTACCAATTAACTGCCCTACCAATACTATTATATCCAGTGGGCAGTAAAAGGAATGGCTGCTCTGAGCAAGCACTTACAACCTTCCTACACCACTCAGGACTTCAAGAGGTGTGTGATGTGGTGTTCCAACCAAGGCTATGTTACACTACTCCAAGTGTAGCCTGCACATGCTCAGCAGGCCTACCACTAAGAGTGGGTAAAGCTGGGCCTCTTCCACACAGCACAATGCAATCAGTCAAAATGCTGGGACAACAAAAAACCTCTAAGCCAAGCTAAACACAGTCAAAACAGTAGATGGGCTGATAAGCAGACTTCACAGGGGCTTGCCTTCAGTGGGCCATTTGCATTTCCTCTATGGACTAGCTTACCTCTAGAACAGTTGGTTGTAATGTCAGATGTTGCACAGCTGAGAATTCAGTTTGGCCACCTGCCAGCAGCCAAGGAGTCCCTCCCTTGGAAAAGGTAAACAAGGGCTCCCAGACAGATTCAGTCATTACAGCCAACAAGCCGAGCACATGAAGCCTCTGGCAAGCCGTCTGCCTTCCTGCAAAACCCTTTCCAAGGCTGCCCTGCCAACCCCAGTCTGAAGCAGGGAGTACCAGCCCTGCACGCAACTCATTGTTGTGTAACCCCAATGCTATTATTTATTGATTCCTTTTGCACAAGCATTATAAAGAGGTAACTTTGCCCCTGCCTTCAGCATGCACGCTACAGGGCATCTAAAGGTCAACAGCTGCTCACTCAATGCAGGGGACCACCTCCAACAATAATAACACTCAGCCACACTGCACCATCACCTGCCTTGGGTTTTCACAGCCAGCATCTTCTAGACTATTTAACCTCATGCCCAAGATTCTAGCCTAGAACGAGGATACACAGTGCAGGTACAGGTGGCAAAGAAAACAGCTGAACCAGTCTTTGGATATTTGCATAGCTTGTGCTCTCCGCAACCTGTTAAATGTTTTTCTCCCTTGAAAGCTAGGCAACCCTGACTGGGCAATATAGTCGGGAAACTAGACAGGATCCATCCATCCAACACTGACTGATTCGAAAAGGAGATGATCTAGAAACACTGCTTATTTTCACCACAGGACCAAAGAGAAGTGAATAAGTATAAGAAGCTGTCATAGATTAGCCAGGTCACTGTTGCACCTAGCGCAGCATCTGCTGTTCTAACTGGCAACAGCTTTATGGGGTCTTAGATAGATGTCTATTACCAAAGATCCTTTTATCTAAAGATGCCAAGGAATAAATCTGTTTATTCTTTGCGGTTAAGGCACACATTCTCCCTGTGAATTATGTCCCTTCCTGCATTGTCCTAACTGCCCCTCACCTGTCCTTAGAGCAATCTAATTTACAAGGTTATAGTTTAGGCTTAATGTTTGCGCCATCTCAAGGCAGTCATGTTACAGCCCCCACATGAATGGTGGTGCTCAATTTCTTTGGTGCTCAATATAAGAGTCATTCCTGAGTTATATTTGATCAAAAGGTTTTTTTACCACAAGTGGTTAAGTTGCAGCAATGGCAGAACACAGGGAAATTGTCAGTAAAGCATTTGCACTCCCACTCACTAGGTAATCTTGCTAAACTAAACTTAATGTTCAGTTAAACTTTCCTTTCTGATTTGGCTGACAGTAACTATGGATGGGAGGTTTTTAGAGAACATATAAAGGGATCCAGATCTTCTTCCCTTCAAACTCAGTTTTATAGAACTTATTAGGAAACTAGAATAAGCAAGTGATTCAAGTTAGAAAGACTGGGACAAACAAGTTTAAACTAAAGAAGCGAGATTTGGTTTTCACAGCTTGGCGCATTTGCAGAGGTAGGTACAGACACACATTGGTGGTTATAATCTGCAGTTAAGGAACATTCAAGCATTGACTAGAAGTAAGATTCAAGTTAAAGGGAAGAGCAGTTTCAAAGTGAAGGATTAACAAAAAGATAGTTACTAAAGTACTGAAAGCCATTGCTCTGAAGGCATTACAGTCACCTATTACACGGCCGTTTACAGGAGCATGAAACATGAATAGCTGATACCTGGCATTTCTCACTTAAGCCACTGCAGACCAAACACTCCTGCAAGCAGGAATACTATGAGCATGACTATTTGCCCACAAGGCAAATGTTAATGAGCCTTTATGGTCAAGTTGATGACATCATAAAAGCCTCATCAAGTATGTCAGGACGAGTCCTAGGACATCTGCAAAGAAAACAGGCCTAGCTTCACAAATGGCATTTCATTACAGCCAGAATGGGCAAACCTATCACAGAACTGCCTTCTCTTATTCCACCCCACAGCTGTTAAATCCTTCTCTCTGCACTTGAAACAGGGTGGAGGTTTTTATGTTGGGGGTGGGGCATGACACAAAAGAGAATGACAGATATTATGTTTTAAATGAGTCTTAGTACAGCTGCTCAGTCACCTTTGGAAGACAGGTGGGCAGACTGACCGCTGGAGTGCACTAGCAAAGGGAAGGCTCCCTTTTCTTATCTGAGTGCTGCAATCCCAAGTCTTCTCCTGATGGAAGGCTAGACAAAAAAGAGGGACTGGGGGGCATGAGAATGATGTGGTCCTGTTTCCTTGCTAACATGCCCAGCCTCAGGACTGGAATCTGGCAGGTAAGTCAAAACATGTCTTGCCAGCAAGAGGCTCTCTTCCCTTGCTAGCATGCTCCATTACCGTATATCAAACTCATGCCATTCCAGGAAGGGGAAATGGGAGCACAAGAGTTACCACTAATTTTGGAAGCTGTCAGTACGCTACTCTGAAAGGAAGCTCTGTAACCCTCCCCAAACATTGGCTGGTAAAAGTAGATTACCCGTAAGCCAATGCTAGAACCCACCTTTTGAGCATTTGTATATATTTATATACTGTTTTAAATTTAGTATATGCTCTTCAGAAGACCCCCAGGCAGATTACAACACATTTTAAATGTGCTTGGAGGGTCATTGTTTTGTTGCTTCCAGTTTAAATATTTGTGCTTTTATCTTGCATTTTTATCTTGCGAATCGCCCTGAGAACTTTTGATGAAGGGTGGTATATAAACCTAACAAATAAAATAAAATAAACAAACAATTTAAGATTCAGAATTAAAAACAGTTTAAGCAACAAAGCTTCATACCCTGATTTCTAAATGTACTTCCAGCTTACAGGCCCCATCTCAGCTCCCAGATAGGGAAATGGGTACAAGAATGGCAGTAACAAGGCATGCTCAGGACAAAGAGAAAGAAGAGTATTATGTGGCCAATGTACTCACATGAGTTGTGCCTCCGGCGAAAGCCTTTGGATTGGTTCAAGGACTCCATGTGCCGGTCCATATAGCTCTTGGAGCATTGCTGCTGCTGGGGAGAAATGGCAACCTCCTGGTTTTTAACGTCTGTTCGCCTGGGAATATTCTGTGGGGCACTACTAGAAGCACCAGGTTTCTTCAGCAATTTGCCGGGGCCATTCTGGCTGGTACCCCCTGGACATCCAATGCCAGGAATACAAAGGTCAGTGTGCTGAAAGTCTCCACATTGCCCATTATCACCAGGGCCTGGAATCTCCAGGATCTTCAGTTCAGTAATGTCACCTGCCCTAAACGAAAGGAAGAGGCCCAAACAAGGTGTGATTTTGCAATAGTGCTTACCTCTACATCAGGCGTAGGGAAGCTGTGATCCTCCAGATACCAGGATACTCCAATTCCCATCATTCCAGACCTATGGCCATGTTAACCAACACTGATGGGAGATAAGGGTCCAACAACATCTTGGACAGCTTCTCCAGCCCTGATCTATTGCACCACAAAACCAGCTAGCTGACAAGTTTAGCAGGTGTGAAAATGTGTTAGAAGCTGTGCCAGTAAGAACAGATACTTCAGTTACACAAGAGGCAATAACCACAAAAAACTAAGTACCATCAAATTTTCAGGAATTGGCATATGCTAAGCAGATATGAGAAAAGAGCCAGTTTTTCAAATTGATCACATCATGAAACATAAGCAGGCTTCATCAAGCCATCAGTTATATTATAAATGCTGAAAAATTATTAGCAATTTTTTAATGCACATCAATACATCATACCATACAGTCAATACCCCCTGGTAGAACTACTCTAATATTTGGGGACAAGAAGGAAGGGAAGGAGAAAGAGTATACAAGAGCCCTGCTAGCCAAAGGCCCATCCAGCCTAGCACACATTTCCCACAGAGATGAACAGGAGGCTCACGAGAAGCTCAGAAACAAGGTGTGAAGGCAATAACTGAGCTGGTTGTTTCCACCCAGTGACTGGCATTCAGTGGGATATTGCCTATCATCATAGAAGTTTCATAGCTGAAATTTTAGACACATTCATTAGATTTGAAGCAAAAAATGAAACATTAGGAAGAAATCCAAGTGGGTGGAGGAAAATAACGAAAAGTATAACTTCTTCCATTTCAGTCTAAAAATTCAGCTTTCAGACTATCACACTGGTATCTTCAGCTCGGTATTACTGGTGGTGGAGCATTACAAGGGTTGCGTGAATTTCGTGCTGGCACTCAGCACAGGTACTTGGTACTGGGAAACCAATTCATCATTCACAGTATATTAGCTTTCTTTTTTCCTTTTCTCTAATATTACTAAGTTTGCAGTCCTTAGGAGTGCAAAGATAGGGGTAAAAAAAATCAAGATGCAGGCAATGCAGACCTAACTGTCTAAACGCTAAGCAAGTTGTAGCATTCTAATGACAATAGTTTAGAAACCTTGCCACAGAATTTTGCTTCTTGGTACAAAAATTTCATTTCACCACGGAACACTTGTTATTGCGGCCTTTTGTAAATTTAACATGTATTAGATGTGCCACCATTGTGCGATTTCTGTTCTCATCTTGAAGCAAAGTCATTAACCCGAGGTACTATTTCTGAGTTGGCGGCGTCTGTAACCTGAAGCGTCTGTAACCCGAGGTACCACTGTATACAAATACAAATTCTGTTCTGGGCCCAATGTTGTTAAATGTCTTTATAAATAACTTAGATGAAGGAAGGAGGAGGATGCTCAACCAATTTGCAGATGACACCAAACTGGAAGGGGTTGCTAATGCCGGAGAAGACAGGATCCGGATTCAATATGACCTTAAAAGATGGGAGAAGTGGGCCAAAACTAACAAAATGAATTTCAATAGGGACAAATGTCAGTCTCTACACTTAAGCAGGCAGAACCCGCTGCAGAAATATACGATAGGACGACACTTGGCTTGCTGGTAGTACATGTGAAAAACATCTAGGGGCCTTCGTAGATCAGAAGCTAAACATGAGTCAACAGTGTGATGCAGCAGCAAAAAAGGGAAGTACAGTCATACCTCGGGTTGAATACGCTTCAAGTTGAGCGCGTTCGAGTTGCACTCCTCGGCAACCCGGAAGTAACGGAGCGCGTTATTTCCGGGTTTCGCTGCTTGCGCATGCGCAGATGCTCAAAATGATGTAACGCGCATGTGCAGAAGCGGTGAAAAGCGACGTGCGCGTGCACAGACACGCCGTCGCTAGTTACGTTTAATTCTAGATGCAAACGGGGCTCCGGAACGGATCCTGTTCGTATCTAGAGGTACCACTGTAACAGTCCCGCTCCATTCCGCGTTGGTCAGACCACACCTGGAGTCCTGTGTCCAGCTCTGGATGCCACAATTTAAGAAAAGACTTATAAAATTGTAGAGTTGGAATCTTCCAACATTCAGCTGCATTGGGTGACATTCATAGTGTTACGAAAGAGAGATAAAATTCACTTAAGATCTCTAGCAAGCACAGTGGGCTGCCAGGAGGAACTGTAGATACCAGTATCCAAGGAATCAGCCAGAAGCATCTAGCTCAATGAACATCTTTGCACCCCCAACCATCACACTTGTTAGTGTGAAGGAAATTCAGTATGTTTGGGGTGGATTTTTTAAAAGAGTTTGCTAAAAAGGGAAAAAAACAACTACTATGAACAAGAAGGCATGCAAGTATCATCACCAAGATTTGTTTTTAACTGTCTAGCCAGTTACCAGCCAGTATATCAAGATCTTTTAAGAGATGGCTCCAGTTTTTCAAATGTGATATGTATCCATTTATTTAAGAAAAGTTCCAATAAAAAGAAATGTTTTTTACATTGGAGTAGGAGCAAAGCTCCTTGGGGATTATCTTTCGGGGGCTGCATGACAGTGATGGGCAGGGCTGAAGCCAAAGTGGGCAGCGTCTTAGCCAATCCTTCCCTGTTACTTACTTCACCCATCCGCTGCTACATAATCCATTCATTCTCTCTTACATCCATTCATATGAAAGGGGCTGGTACCAATCCTCCTGGTCCCATATCATTCCCTACAATCCCTGCAAGTCTTCACTGTTTATAGAGGCACCAGAAGTTGTTGTTTCTTCCCCCACCCAACTTACAATCCAGTTGTTGCAAAGAGAATGAGAGAGACTGATAGCCAGGCAGGAAACATATGGACTTGGGGCCAGAGCATGGACAACAGCACTTAAAAGGGTTTTTCCAGTGATACTGTGCTCCATGGTTGGGTTTCTGACCTACATGCATGTGCACTTGCCAGGCTCCAGGTCTCTCTCCCTCTCATTTTCTTCTTGTGACAGCTGGATTGCAATGTGGAGAATATGAAAGGGAGGCAGACAGACAGACAGAAAAGACAGCAAGGCAGAGGTATTGCAGATACAGTGGAGAAACTGCACCATGGCAGCGATGAGCCTAATCTGGCCTGGAGGTTAAGAGCACCTCAGCTCCTGGTTTATGTACTGATTTGGCATCATCAGCCAAAATCCTGGGAATAAGAAAATGTGGTTGTGAACAACATATCAGCAGTGCCCCTCTCCCCCACCAGCTCATGGCAGTTTTTCATGGTTGGTCTCGAAAACTCAAACACTTAAATGGTCAGAGTCTAGAAAAAGCAGACAGATGGGCCATTTACCTGAAGGTGACCTCTGGTACCAAACATTTAACACCATTATGGAAAGGCCGCTTTAAGGAGATGGTCTGGCTGACCTGATCCACAGCAGACACTCTTCCCTGATAGACTCCCAGGCTCTCTCCACAGTTGATTGAGACAATGCTTCCAAGCCAATCTGCAGCCATATTTTCCCTGATCACTGCAAAATGAAAGTGAAAAAGATGGGATAAAGTTTGCTGTTGTAGTCTGATTTTTTTTAAATTTTTTTTTGCATCATAACACTGACCACCACTCCAAGGCTTGGCTTTCACTCCTCTGTACTTTCTCAGTACTTTAGAACATTAAATATCACTACAATGAATGAATACAATATATGTAAATTGAGCAACCAGAATGGATACAATACCAACTAGTCAAGTTAAAAATAAAAGCTAAAATTATTTTTTTCCTCCTTCACATTTTATTCAGTTCTTCAGGCATCTTATGTGATCTCTGCTGGTTTCCAATTAGTTTCCAGATTCTAGTGACTAACTGTAAACCTGTAAGTGGTTTGGGGTCAGGTTATTAGCAGGATCATCATCTCCCACGAGTTTGCTGGCCATTAATGATGATCAGAGGTCTTGCTCATTGTCCTGTTACCTTCAGAAGTGTGGTTGGCTGGGACAGAGGACAAGGGTTTTTCAGTTGCAGAGGCCAGGCTTGTGGCTGAAAACTCAAGGGGCTCCTTTTTTTTAGCCTTCAGGGCCAAACGGTCAAGTCATTCCTGCTCTGAAACACTTTTAACCCCTGTATCAGGAATTTTTTTATGTCTGATGTTTTAGAATTTTTTTATGTGCTGTAAGCTGCCCAGAGTGGCTGGGGAAACCCAGCCAGATGGGCAGGGTATAAATAATAAAATTATTATTATTAAGTTGTTTTAACATCATACCCTGCTATCAATAATTAATTATTACTATTATTATTATGAATCCTTTGACCTGAATGAACTTAAGAGCCTTGCTGGATCAGTCCAAAGGCCCGTCTTGTCCAGTATTATGTGTTTACAGTGGCCAACCAGATGTCACAATGGGAGGCCCACAGGCAAGACCTGAGCATAAGGGCATCTTCCCCTCCCAGTTTCTATAAGAACATAAGAAGAGCCCTGCTGGATCAGGCCAATTGGGGGGGGGGGTGCATCTAGTTCAGCAACCTGTTCTCAGAGTGGCCAACCAGAGGAAACCCAATGGCCCACCAGGGAAACCCACAAGCCGCATTCATGCACAGGAGCCCTCACCCCAAATGGTATTCAGAAGCATTACTGCCTCTGAACGTGCAGGTAGAGCAGAGCCACTGTGGCGATAGCCCTCTCCCTCAGGAGCAGCCGAAGGACCAACCACTTTTTGTTTCAATGTTAGCTCCTTGGGGCAGAGCTCCACAGCAGCACGAGCTTACCTGTACGCTTCGCCTACATCACTCTCCCTCTGAAACACCATGAGCATGGTCAAAAACGACAACCAAAAACAGCTAACCCTCAACCTGAAGAAAGGGAACGTCACCAAGTTCGCTCGTTTTGTAAGCTCCTCGGGGCAGGGAACTCCCTCCCTCCACTTTCTCGCGCGCCTCCCTAACTGCTGCCAGGCTTCAGGGACACCCACGGCGCCCACGTTAGATTGAGGGCAAACAAGGAAATGAAAGAACTGACAGGATGAATCCCTCCAGGGGCTGAGGGGGGGAGGGGAAGTGACGTCACCTACTCCCTTTAACCCCCTGTGCTGGCTTGCAGGGGCCGCTCGCGCGGGGGGGAGGGGGCAGGGGACGGCGGCCCCTCCCCTTCACGCGCCCCCCGTCAGTTGCTCCCGAAGGGCCCCGAAAGAGGCCCCGGCGCTCCTCTCCCCCCACCCGCAGAGCCAGAGTCACGCCCCCCCCCGGCTTCCCTCCCTCGGCCTTTCCCGGCAACGAGGCGAGAGGCTAGAAGCGAGAAGGTAGGGAGGCCACTCGGCGGGTCGGTCGGCCACTCACTCGCTTCTGCCCCCTCAGAGCTGCTTCTTCTTCTTCACACCGGAAGCGCCAGGCGTCCCGACGTCACTTCCGTCCGCTGCTGCTGCACTTCTGAGGCAGCGTCCGTAGGGAATGCGCCTGCGCCGCTGCGCACGCGGGGCTTTTCATCCAGGCATGCGCAGAGCGTGTCGCGGGGGAGCAGCTGCTCCGCTCTGGCGGCGGCGGCGGCCCTGCTGTCTCTTCTCTCGCTCGTTCATTTCTCCCTCCCCGCCGAGAGCCCTCGCTGCGAGGCAGGCTAGGCTGAATGAGGCGGCCACTGGCCCCGAGGGCACCGCCGAGTGAGCCCCGTCCATCGCGGGATCCGAACCCCGGGCTCCCGGGTGGCCGTCGGGCGCTCTAAGCGCGGCGCCACGCTCCCTGCGAGCGCGGGAGGCGGGGTTCCTTCGCTTCATCACGTGGAAGTTCTCGCGCGGAACTAGAAGCGGAATTCGAAATCCATCCGGACAATTCTAAGTAAAATGCCAGCGTTGTGCACCGAGGTAATTCTAATCTGTTTTAGGTATTTTTAACTCTTGTATGTTTTAAAGTAGGGTTGTGACTTTTTCTTGTTTTTACTGTTTTGTAAACTGATTTGAGGCTTTTTACACTCAGTTATTCCATAATATTCATACACTGCTTAATTAGTTAATTAATTAAAAGCTGCTTCGTGTAAACATAACTCATATTAATGCAGGTGATATTGATCTTAAAGTGGCCTAAACCCTGAAAAAGCAGAGTTTTACTTGGGTTGGATTCTAAGTCCGTTCAACCTAGTATTGTGACCTGGCAACCTGGCAGAAGTTCTGCCTGCAGAAAGGATGGTGTAACTCAAACACTATTTAAAAAGCTTGTTTTCCTCTGCCAGGCTTTGGCCGACTGAGCCAGCAGTAGCCCCGCTGCTGAACGGAATTTGGATCTGGTGTAAATTCATGCCAGCCTGCTATACACCAACTTCTTGTGTATAGGATCGTTCCCTTAGGATTACAAATAGTTTAGGTCAAGGTGGGTCTGGTTCTGTGCAATACCTTGTCACCATGTTTAAAAGGACTACGCACCAGATGAGGCACGTCTTCATTCTATATAGAGGGGTTTGTGCCATTGATCACTAAATTTCAATGTTGAGCAAAACATTAAATGTCTTCTATCGGCGTTTTTATATATATATGTTTGTAAAACTGGAAGATTTCTTGGTGTGAGATATACATTTAATAAAATATTTTTGAGAGTTTTCTAGTTCTTTTTAATTCCTTTCAAATTATTTAAGCAGATTTTCATTTAAGATGATCAAGCAAAGATAACTGCAAGCCTGAAATTCTTGTAGAAAGCTATTTTTATTTATACATCATCAATATACACAGCACTGTACACATATAGTCCCTGCCTAGAGTTTGGCAGCCACACATAGTTAGTCCTCACCCCTAACTGAAGGGAAGTCAGATCAGACTACCGTTTTCACATCAAAAGTGCCTGCAGGGGAAAAGGGATTTCAAGGAAGACAAGAGATGTAGAGATGTTCTGTGACCAAGTCCCCTTTCTGTCCCTTATGTCTCTATAGATAGCCCCATAAACAGATTTCCTGTATATACCACCATTACATTTAATTTCTTTACTATTGAGTTTCTCAGTGTACAGCATCATAATACTTAACTATATGAGAATGATTCATGAAGCACAACTTGCATTTAGTAAACACAAGTGAGACCCACAACAAAATGTTGCACTTTAAAGTACAGTGGTGCCCCGCAAGACGAATGCCTCACAAGACGAAAAACTCGCTAGACGAAAGGGTTTTCCGTTTTTGCGTTGCTTCGCTAGACGAATTTCCCTATGGGCTTGCTTCGCAAGACGAAAACGTCTTGTGCTTTTTTTTAAAGCTGCTTGAAGAGGCGCAGTTGCGACGGACCGTGCTTCGCAAGACGAAAAGACTCGCGGAACGAATTCCTTTCGTCTTGCGAGGCACCACTGTATATTCCTGAAGTTTTCAAGGATATTCCCTTTGTTTCTCCTTCCTAGTTTTTCAACGTGCTGTCAAAGTTCTGTGACTACTGATCAGACACTGTTCTCGTTTGTCTGTCTGTGGATTCATCAAGGATTTTCCTAAAGTTTGTGTTATTTTTGCAAACTCTTGATCCCAAACCCAAGCTTGCTAGTTCTTCTCATCTTAGGCATGGCTGGTGCCATTTTGCTATGTAAGGACTCACAGTGTGAAGCTGAGTTTGCTATTAGTATATATAAGTGTGATTATCTGGTTACAATGTTCTGTTAGTAGTAAAGGTTTATAAAAGTGTGAATCCACTGCCCCTTTTAACAAGGCCTTCAGGAAGCAACATTTGATGGGTACATACATGCCTATCCACTTCCTCTTAAATGTATGTTCGTACAACAAGCATGATAACCTCTCAGTTACTTGTCTGCATCCTAGAAAGACTCTTCCAGTGAAGTCTTAGTGTATGACCAAAGCCACCACAGTATTATGGTCAAATCGGAGAAGTTATTCCATGCCATACAAGCCCACCTAGGGCATACTTGGTTTCAAGTCACTTAAATGAAAATGATTACAGTGCCTCATGCCATTACCCAACCTATATAATTTGCCCACTTTTGTTATTTTGATACAGCCTCAATCCACGGTTCAGCCTGGGTGACCAACCCACTCCTAAGTCAAGCTACAGATACGGCAGGGTAGGAATCCCTCCTCCCCGGTCATCCCAATCTTTCTTTGCTCCCAGATGCCACCACTGGTTCTTAGAAACGCTGTCTAATCTGGAAATGCTCACACTCCTTGTGTTTCATTGTGAGTCCATACTGAGGGGTTAAGTCCACTGTCTTCCCGCTGCACACACTCAGCTCCAGCTTCTGAACGATGGTAGTCAAGAAAAGGAAGACTTCGCCCTTGCCAACGTTCTCTCCAATGCACCTCCTCTTGCCCAGACCAAATGTCAGAACCTTTTCGCTCTCTGCTCGGTTTACTCCCGTCCCGTCAGCTGTGAGAAACCGTTCTGGGTTGAAGGCAGAAGGATCTCGCCAAAGCTTCCTGGAGAGGCAAAGAGCAGGTGTTTTAGACCAGCGGTTTCCAAACTTTTTGTGGGGCCCCACCCTCTTGGTTCCAGAAACACTTCCCCAGTGGCCCCTGCCCTACCCTCCAAAAAGCATTATTCAGAATAGTGGTTTGCACAAGCCACACAATAAAATTCAGAACAGTAACAATTAACTGCACATTTATTCAAAATACAATTAAAACTGTTCAGTTTCATTAATTCAACAAAAACGAACTTGATCCAGTGATGCCAGTTTTTCCAACTCTGTCATTTACACCTCCGGTGCCCCCATTTGCCTCTTGGTGCCCCCCAGGTAATTCCCCAAGGAACCACTGGGTTAGAGTTCCACTGCCCCATTTTGGGAACCACTGGTGTCGAAACTTTTTTCAAAGAGGGCCAGAATTGATGAAGTGAAGGGCCGTGAGAGCCAACCAAAGTTGTTGAGCTTTTTTTTTAGGATTGAAGTTGTTGAGGTTTTTTTAGGAGTTTACCCCAAGAAATAAACTGCCACAATGGCCAGTTTAAACTGACCAGTAGGCCAGATTAGGCTCCAAAAACGGGCTTTGGACATCCCTGGGTTAGACTCTCATTTCATATGAGGTTTGGAGAAAGCACCCATTTTGGTGTCTCCAATAGTAAATCCAGCTGCTTGAAACTGGGAAGAGTTATAGCAGGGGAATGGAAGCCTCTCTTTTTGGCCTGTGGGCTGTATTTCCTCGTGGACAGCCTTCCAGGGGCTTCATGCCACTGATGGCTAGGACAAAAGTGGGAAGAATAATTAATGTAACATTTATAAGTAGGCTAGTTTCTGCACACAATGACACGATCCAGCCAGGGAGAACTCAGATGGGGGGTGCAGAGGGCCAGGCTGGGAGGGCTGAGGTTCGACACCATTGGGTTACAGCCTCAGCCTTTCCATCCAGAGCCAAGTATCTCAGGGATGCAGGATTTGCACTGAGAATCAAAACCGTTTATTTGGGGCAAACTGGAATACGGTAGCTCTACTCCATGCATTACAAAGCGGGTTCCAGAGATGCTTACGGATCATGGTTGACTTGCCACTGGTTGACGAAGACGCAGAGATCCTTCGGGATGTAGAAGCCGTTCAGTGCTGTGTCCCTGGTTGTGCTACAAGGAGAGAAACCAGAACACAATTTATACATGCGCAAGAAGCTGCAGGTGTTTAGTTCTTATGTGATAAAGGTGGCATGGGCTGAATGTAAAAATAGCTGCAATCCTAAAGCATGTATGTCTCTGGAATAAAGTATAATTAAACTTAATTCAAAGCAAGATGATTTAGGAAAGCTGAGTTCAAACAAGCATGGAGGAAGTCAAGCAGTAAGTTAGGAGACAGGGCAGATTTACAAGCTGACACTATTGATGGATCATCTTTTCAGCTGCTAATGGTACAATCCTATACATGCCTGTCTGGAAGTACCGTATATCCTATCAACTTCATTCCCAGTCCCAGGTAAGTGGGTACAGGATTGCAAGGATAAAATGGAGCAGGGAGTACTATGTACACCACCTTGATCTCCTTGGAGGAAAGATGGGAAATAGTAATAATAATAATAAAATATACCAGGCCAAAACTGTTCAATTGCCTATCCTGCATTGTGTGAGCCTTACCAGTGAGGGATTGTGAAAGGCAGGAAGGAGGAATGCCTAAACATTTCCAGGATGAAAGCTTCTGTGTAGGGCAACGTGGAACGATCTGACAGCCTGGGCTTCCTTTCTCTGCCAATGGTTTGGTCTGCAGTTTCCGGAAAGAGGCAGAAAGTAAGATGGATTCAAATTTAGCCTTGGGCAAACACAGTTAAGAAACGCTTGAATTAGGAGTGCCTGGGTTTACCTATTTCTTCCTGCATTTTCTTCTGGATTTCTGGAAACGTCACCAGGTACATGAGGGACCAGGAGAGAGCAGTGGTGACTGTGTCAAAACCTAGACAGGGATCAAGTGGGGAAATATTCAGCATCAGGTGCAAAACTATTGAACATTAATGCAACACATCGTCTAGGAGCCCAATTCCAAGATTCTATTCTCTGTACTGAGGTATCAAAACCGTGCTGACTCTGAATTAGTTGTTAAGATACAGAGACAGGAGAGCCAATGCATTACTTCACAAAATGGATCGGAGATCTGAAGCTATGGTTTAAAAAAAGGTAAAGGGACCCCTGACCATTAGGTCCAGTCGTGACCGACTCTGGGGTTGCACGTTCATCTCGCTCTATAGGCCGAGGGAGCCAGCGTTTGTCCGCAGACAGCTTCCGGGTCATGTGGCCAGCATGACTAAGCCACTTCTGGTGAACCAGAGCAGTGCACGGAAATGCAGTTTACCTTCCCACCGGAGCGGTACCTATTTATCTACTTGCACTTTGATGTGCTTTCGAACTGCTAGGTTGGCAGGAGCAGGGACCGAGCAACGGGAGCTCACCCCGTTGTGGGGATTCGAACCACCGACCTTCTGATTGGCAAGTCCTAGGCTCTGGTTTAGCCCACAGCACCACCCGGTTTACGGTTCTTGTATTTGGTGAATTGGTGTGAACATTGTATCAAATGATAATGACCAATGGTTGTAACTAGATAGGCTTTTGGCCTGATCCAGCAAATCTCTTATGCTAAGCAGCGTGCACGATAACTTCAATGGGAGGTGGAGGAGGGAGAAGACAGTTGAAAGGTCCTCTCTAGATTAGCAGATTCTTACCAGCTCCAAAAAGATCGCTGACGATATTGACAATCTTCTGATCCGAAAGCAGGATGTTTGCATTCTCATCCAGTTTTTTATCTTCGCAGTGGTTGATCAGGGAGTCAGTAATGTCTCGGATGTTCTCCTGAAATACAAATTCAGAAGATAACTGTCTTCCTGCAGAGCCAATCCCGGTCAGTTAGGAGACAGACATATAAAACTCCCTTATATCAGGTCAGGCTACCTGTCTATTGAGACTCACCTGGTATCTTCCCTACATACCTTCAGGCACTCGGCAAAAACATTCCTCTTCTCACAGGCCTTTAGCTAATTAAACAATCTGGCCTTTTAAACTATGGGGGATGTTGTTTTGATTGTTATTATGCTGTGTATTTTTGTGTTTTTTTACTGTAAAGTGCCCTGTGGTCCTTGGATGAAGGCTGGTATATAAATTTAATAAATAAAATAAACAAATAGCCCACTGTTGCCTGCTCTGTCAGCACTTTTCCAGGGTGTCTGGCAGATGTCTCTCCCATCACCTGCTTCCTGATCCTCTTGCTAGGATCACCAAGGATTGACCCTTCTGCAAGCAAAGCGTGTGGTCTACCATGAGCTGTTACAGAATAAGCTACAAGTACAAGAGCTCATTGTAGCTCTCCTGGCTGCAGGTTGCTTCAAGGCATACCAGTCTTCCTAGAGCTAAGCAGGTCGAGGTCTAGACACTGCCTGCATGGGAGACCATCTGCAACCCTGTAGACACCACCCTGTTCCATAGCTGATACATGGGATGTAATTCAGATGTGATAATATGGGTTAAATTTCATGTTGTGGTTCCTATTCTGCATGGGCCAGTTACCCAGGCACCACATAGCTTCCTTTGCAAGTGTTAAACCACACATTGACATGCAATCTGGTGTATCTACCGTGTGGAGATCTACGGCTTCGTCAACAAATACAATCTTTTAAAGTCTGGGTGGGCAGCATGGTACTTGTTCAGATGTTGTTGGACCATGGCAGGTGAAGGGCACCCTGTCGCCTATCCCTGCAGCAGCTTATGGGCAAGCAAGTCATTGCAATGCCCTGGTTGGTCTTCTACCGTGTTGGTGACGGTCCAGGAATACATGCCAGAAATCAAGGATGAAACTTTCCAAACTGAATGGTTCACACACACAAACAAACCTTGTCAAAGCTCGTGTAATGGTCCTTAACTATCTTCAGCACAAATGCAGTGAAGCGCTGGTTGAGGTCCTTGAAGGCCTTCATGGTGCGGCTGGGAAGATACTGGAGGACAGGGATGAAGTCTGCCGGGTTCCCGGAAGCAGCCGCCGCCCCAAACTCATTGTTCAGGTTCACCAGACTGAGCAGTTCCTGGTCTTCATGGTTATAACGCTTTCCGAAGCACATGGCACAGATTACGTTGGCCACAGAGACCACAAGGTACCGGTAGGGGTCAAAGCTCTTTTTCTCATCCATCAACTCCTGGAACTTCATGACAAGGTAGTCTGCCTCTTTGGAGACGTGCTCCTCCAACAGACAAGTGGAGGAGGTTGGGTTGGCAGAAGCCGAGAAGGCCTTCAGGGCATTCTGGGCCAGCTTCCTGCGCGCTCGCCACACTTCTCCTGAATCCCTGCCGAAGGTCAAGCTCTGGCCATCCCCAATGTACTGGAAGCTGTAGAGGTCAGGGCGCCCCGAGAAGTCTTCTCCTTGCTTCACCAGGGCTTGCTTGATAGTTTCAAGCCCACTCAGGACCAGCACTGGCCTTGTGCCGATATGGATCTGCATCACATCTCCATATCTCTGGCTCATCTGAGTCAAGGCCAGGTGAGGGTTCTTCTGAAGCTCCAGGACGTTGCCGATCAGCGGGTATGCCCTCGGCCCCGGGAGCTGCTTCAGCCCCTGAGGGATCTGCTGCCGGAAGGATTTGATGACAACCAGGAGCAGGCAGAAAAGCGCAATGGCCAGGAGGATTTCTGAAGGAGACATAATGCTTTGGCTACCCAGCAACACTGCCTTCATCTTCCTAGATTTAAGTGTCCTAATACAAGCAGAGAGAAAGAGAAGAGCGGGAGAGAAACAGCATTGTGAGTAACTTCAGGGACCAAAAAGCCAATGGTTATAGCACCATCTTAACACTGCAGAAGTTGAACTGCACTTGCTTTTCGACATCAGGAGTGTTTTCAGGACTGAAATTCCTCCAAACTCAACTTTCAAGCTGAATAACGTATGGCCATCTGTCATGGATGCTTCAGTTGTGATGCCTGCACTGCAGGGGGCTGGACTAGATGGCCCTCAGGGTACCTTCCGATGCTGCAATTCTCTGAGCACCTGGAGGGCCAGAGGATAATTCCTCTCCTGGGGCATCATTAGGACTGCAGCCTTGGGCTCTTTTGCAGGGTAGGGAACCTGCGTCCCTCCAGACATTGCTGAAAGATGGCTGCCATCACCCTTGACCGTTGGCCAAGCTGGCTGGGGCCAAAGCCAGCTGGAGTCCCAACAACATCTCAAGGGCACCATATTCCCAACTGGTGTGAAACCGAGAAGTTACGCAGGGTACCCTCACCCTGCCCCTCCTTAGACTGCCCACACTCATTGCCAGAGCCAGGCTCAAGCTAAACTTGTGCTCTGAGAGCCAGGATGGTACAGTGGTTAGTGCTGGACTAGGACCTGAGAAATCAGGGTTCAAATCATCACTTGGCCATGAAGCTCACTGAATGCGACCTCGGGGATCAATCACTGCTCCTCAGCCTAACCTACATCGCAGGGTGGTTGTAGGGATTAAATGGGGGTGGGACATGTGTGCCACCTTGAGGTCTTTGGAGAAAAGGATGGGCTAGAAATGCAATGAAATAAAGTAAACTCAGGGGAGACACGCATGATCTGCTTCCGTTCTACATATATCTGAAGGGAAGGTGGAGAAGCTCGTTCTCTGCTGCCCCAGAGGGTAGGACCTGAACTGATGGATCTAAATTACAAGGAAGGAGATTCCAGCTAAACCTTAGGAAGAACCTGCTGAAGGTAAGAGCTGTTGGACAGCAGAACAAGCTGGAAGGTAGTGGACTCTCCTTCCTTGGAGGTTTCTAAAGGGAGCTGAGATGGCCATCTATCACGGCTTATTTAGCTGTGATTCCTGCATTGCACGGGCTTGGAGGAGATGACTTTTGGGGCCTCTTACAACCCTTCAGTTCTATGATTCTGTATTTAAAATGGGAACAGCCTGTGATGGCTTTTCTATATGTCCCTATATGTTTAATCTCTTTTTATTGCGGCACAAGAGTACTTTAGGCCCTGATCCACATTTTTTATATCCCCACATCTCCCCTTGCGGTGGTGAGAAATAATCTTGTGCGTGTACAAGCAAGGTTATTTGTTTCAGCGCTGACAAGTACTGGGAAACCATAAGGCACTGGGAGGAGGCACACACAGAATAACAAAATGTCCCAGGATTCAAAATGACCCAGGGAGGGGGAAGGAGGACTTCGGTGCTCACCTGAAGACTGTGTTGTGTCACCATCCAACATGTGCCCATGACACACACACAAAAAGAGCACAAAATTTCATAACTTCAACAGCCACATCTTCCCACCAGCAATTCATTTTGTGCTGGGGAAATGTAATTTCCCCCAAGACCAGGCTTGCAGGCTGTAGCAAGGACAGAACATCCAGAATATGCATACATGGAAAACCATTCACACATTCCCTGAGGAAAGGCACCATCTAAAAAAAAACTCTCTTAAAAATGATTACATAGCATGTGGTAGGTCTTTTTAAAAATAGGGGTGCAGCAGGGACAGGCTCACAGCTGATCTGAGGCATCCACCAGGCTTGTTCTGAGTGGCATCTAGAAGGCATTCTGTGCATGCTCAGGGGCATTTTTTGTCAAACCTGCTCTAAATCAATAAGGGCTTACACACGCACACAGCCAACGTTTGCAGGGCGTTAGACTACATGACCCTTTGAGATCCCTTCCAACTCTACAATGCTATGATTCTATGATTTCAGTTCTGCAGCAAAAAAAAATGTGAGTGGAACATATAATCATTGCGGGTTAGGAATAACCAGCTCCCTCTTAAACAAAAAGTTCTAATAGCAATTGTTTTGCCTAGAAAGATGACCAGGAGAAAACAAATTGGCCACAGGCAAAAAAAGGTCCTTCCCATCAGCAGGCAAGCGTGCATGCACACATTCAGACGTGCAAGGAAGATCTGACCCGTTTTCCAGGTCAAGCACTGGGGCTGGAAGAGGAGGAGAAGCCCCCTTGGAGTGCTCAGCTCACCGATCAGAAGTTTCAGCCTGTCTCCACCGCTCCGTCCAGACCAGCTTTGCCCGCGATGCCCACTTTGGCTCCGGATGGGATGCCTTCACTCGCCGCCTCCTCCGAACACGCTCCCCGAAGCACCGCTTTCGGCTCGCTTTATAAGCGCCTCCTCGGGCTCTGATTGGCCGGCAGCCCTCGGGTCACGTGGACGCAGCGAAAAACTTTGTTTTGCCCGGTTCTCGCAACCCTTTGCGCGCTCGCGCCAGGGAAGCGGGTCGCTGCGCTCCGACACTCGCTGCCCAGGAGCTGCGCCCCGACGGCGGGGGCTTAAGTCCTGAGTCCCCTGGCCCCGGCTGCAGACAATGTGAATAAGCTAAAAGGAACCACTGATTGATTGATTTTATTGCTTTTCAACATATTGGGAACACAGCAAAGAAATTCCCCCATTCGCCTCCCAGTTTATCAAATCCTGCCGTAGCCTTGTTCGCGCGCTCAGTGAATGCCGGTCGTCGGAATGTCCCTTAGAGCATTCCACGCGCTCAGTTTTATGATTTCATTATTAAATGTATATTTTTAAAAAAGACTAACCAAGTATTCCAGCCAAAGGAAGGAAGCAATTGAGGAGATATGGTCAAGTGGAAAGTAAGGAGACGAAAGGGATAAAGGGAAATATTAAAAGAAACTTGTGCAAACGAGGCAATAAGGCAGGATTCCAAGATCTTTTTATACGTTTATTGTGGGGAAAGAAAGGAGCAGGGAGGCGGCGCTGCTGGCTAACTGGAAGATGGCCAACTAAGTTTTATTCTATGCCTCCCCTCCAAAGGAGTCCCCCACACTCCCCATACTGGACTCCCCATCTGAAGAGCAGCTCCGGTTTCTCCTGGACGGTTTCCAGCTGGAACGGGCCTTGCTGTAGATGTGTTTCCGAGCATACAGTGGGTAAAAAGCTCCCTTTTCATGCGGATTGGGCTGCTCTAGAATGCTGGAGACAGAGACCCCACTGCAGAAATAGTAATGGGTCTTTGACATCCTATGCAGTCCTTTTATCTGTGGAAAAGACTTTTTATGTGCGTGATTGAGCTCCTGTCGCTGATATGAAGGCATGGGCAGAACTTCCATATTGTCTTAACAAAATAAAATAAATAAAATAAAAATAAAAAATTACTTCCAGTAGCACCTTAGAGACCAACTAAGTTAGTCATTGGTATGAGCTTTCACAAAGAAGTGTGCATACACATGAAATCTCATACCAATTACTAACTTAGTTGGTCTCTAAAGTGCTACTGGAATGAATTTTTGTTTGTTTGTTTGTTTGTTTGTTTCGACTACAGCAGACCAACACGGCTACCTACCTGTATCCATATTGTCTTGTTTGTTTGTGGTGTCAAGAAAGTTCACGCATTCAGCTGCCCCTCCTATAGTGGACAATGGTCTAAAGCTGATAAATCACTTGGATGTCCCAAGAATCCTTCAAGAGCTGCACTGGTGGCCACTTTGCTTCCAGGCAGAATTCAAAGCATAGGTGATTAGCTACTAAAGACCTACCTGTCTTAGGGCCCAGGACACCTCAGGGACTGCTTCTTCCCATATCATCTTCTCTACTCTTGAATCATCAGAAGGCCCTTCTCTGCATTCTTCTTCTTCTTCTTTGGCAATCACTTGTAGCCAAGTAAGATGGTCTTCCATGAAAATGGTCTTAACAGTGAGTCCGTAAGTGACTGTAGAGGCCAATTCTGGATCCACATGTCCTTCCATAGTGGGGACATAGGTTTCCAGGTGGGAGCTGATCACGGTGAGGGTGATCAAACGTGCCAAACGTGCCTTCCTCTTAACATGTTTTCCCCTTTCATCCTGAGTTCGAGCGTCTTCAAAGTCCATGACACCTTTGGTAAAGGCTGTTCTCCAATTGGAGCGCTCACAGGCCAGTGTTTCCCAGTTGTCAGTGTTTATACTACATTTTTTTAGATTTGCTTTGAGACAGTCTTTAAACCTCTTTTGTTGACCACCAGCATTACGCTTTCCATTTTTATGTTCAGAATAGAGAAGTTGCTTTGGAAGACGATAATCAGGCATCCAAACAACATGACCAGTCCAATCAAGTTGATGTTGAAGAATCATTGCTTTGACACTGGTGATCTTTGCCTCTTCCAGTACACTGGCATTAGTTCGCCTCTCTTCCCAAGTGATGTGTAAATTTTTTCGGAGACACCATTGATGGAATCTTTCGAGGAGTTGGAGATGGCGTTTATAAGTGGTCCATGTTTCACAAGCACACAGCAAGGTTGGTAGTACGAGGGCGGGGGCATGGCTGGGGGGGCATGGCTGAGTGGGACAAGAGACAGAGCCTTCTTGGTGACTACACCCAGGCTGTGGAACAGTTTGGCCTTCAAAACAGAGTTGGCCATTTCCAGGGCTGGCCCTGCCTTAGGCAAACAGATGCTGGGAGCAGCAGTGGCAAGTCTGCCCTCCTCCCAAGTCATCTCACCACCCTGGTCATTTCCTACTGTTGGAGAGCAGAGCTATGCCTGCCACAACCCTGCAATGGGAACCTAAGCCGGTGGAAAAGGCAGTGTGGTATAGTGGTTAGAGCATAGGGCTAAGACCTGGGAGAGACCTGGGTTCAAATCCCTGATGGCTTGCCTGCCTGTGGCCTTGGACCGGCCACTGACCGGTAGCCTAGATCAGGGGTCTTCAACTGGTGGGTCGGGACCCACTCGTGGACGGCGGCCCGATCCAAGACGGGACGCAGCAGGGCCACACCGCCATGCGAAAGCACAGGGAGATCTTGAGAAAGGGTCAAGTGGGTCCTGGGTCTGAAAAGGTGGACGGGCACCTGGCCTCGCCTACTTCGCGGGGTTGTCGTTGCAGGATGAAAGGGGGAGGGGGAGAACCGCGCGCGCGCCCCCCTTGAGCTCCTTGGAAAACATCGCGGGCTGGCGGTGCGCAAAGAGCCACGTGCGCGCTAAGCGAGCCTGGCGGATCGGGGACGCGGCGGCGAGCGCGGAAGTGCCCCGGGAGCGCGCCCGGCCTCGCGTGAGAAGGCGGCGCGGCAGGCGGGCGCGCCTCGGCCTCGCTCCCTTTCCTTGGAAACAAACTCGGGAAGCGATCCGGGAAAGGGGCGGCTCCGACCCCTTCCGAGAGGGCGGCGGGCCCGGCTGGCGTGACAAGGGGCGCGCAAGTGGCACGGCAGGCAGATCGCGCGCGGAGATAAGCAACCCCAGGGAGGAGGCAGCGGCGCCCAGGCGCAACTTTTCGTGGGGGGGGGGACCCCTTAGTCCCCATAAATCCAGCCCCCGCCCACATAAGAAGCATTCAGCATAGCGGCTTGAACGAAGGTGATAGCTCGATGAAATTCAAGAGAGTGGCAATTAATTGCACATTTATTCCAAGCCCAATTAAAACTATTCACCTGAATTAATTCAACCACAGTGATGAACTTGACCCAGGGTAATCAGCTGCGCAACGCCCGGCAGTCCCGTCCACCTCCAGCGCCCCTACCCGCCCCCCGCCTCTTGCACAGCTGTCAACTTTTCCCTTTTCGTGCGAGGAATCCTATTCGGAATAAGGAAATTTCCCTTTAAAAAAGGGAAACGTTGACAGCTATGGCCTCTTGGCGCCCACCCTGGAGTCACCCCGTCCCAGCGGGAGCTACCTGCCACTTTGGGAACCCCTGGTTTGAAATAGTAAAAAATTAGTTTCAAAGCAGCAGTAAAGCAAATGGCCAGATTAAAAACGCCTGTCAACACCCTACATGTCTGAATTGGCTTCCCTAAACAAAAATGTCTAGGCAGGCACCAAAAAGAGGACAGTAATGGCGCCTGCCTGCCTGGTGTCAACTGGCAGGGAGTTCCAAAGAACTGCTCTGCTCATAGATTTCAATCCTGCCTTTACTAAGAACTGAAGGCAGAAATTTCTGAAAGCATCACATTAGGTTCCCCTCCCACTTCCCAAAAGCAGCTTCCATCACTTAGGCGATTTTTGTCTTAATTTCAGGGTTGTGGGTTCAAGCCCCACCGTGGGTGAAAGATTTCTCCATTGCAGGGGGTTTAATCCTAGGAGTTCCTTCCAGCTCCACAGTTTTATGGCTTTTTGATTATTTTAACCCCCCTTCAAATAATTACTTAGATTAGATGCATTTTGTTTTAGTAGTTCAAAATGTGGAACATTTTTTTTTAAAAAAACCACAGACCCATGCCAACCTCTAGTAATAAAGAAAAATGGAAATAATAATATTGCCTTTTGGAGATTGTCCTTCTAAAATGAAAGAAAAAGAAGCATGAGAAAAATAAAAGCATTTTTTTGGGGGGGGGTCACCAAATCGAACATTTTTTGAGTAATCCTGCCCATCTTAAAAGCGCATGTCTTCCCAGGGGTCCCCTGAGCTCAGAGGCATTTGCTGGCAGGGAAAACTACACGGGATTGCTGCCCTAAACCTGCTTACTTGTTGGTAAGAGCCAGTAAACTTACTGGAACTTGCTTCTGTGTGAGAGCACCTGTAATTGCTCAATATTAATCTCAATAGGGGTCAAACATATGTTGGAAATGTAAAGAAAAGGAAGGGACCTTTTACCATATGTGGTGGGAATGCAGATAAATTTAAAAATTCTGGGAAATGATATATAATGAGTTGAAGAAGATGTCCAAAATAACATTTATTAAAAAAAACCAGAGGCATTTTTGTTAGGGATTGTAGGACAAGACCTGCCAAGGAAAAGAAACAATTTATTTCTGTATGCTACAACAGCAGCAAGAGTCTTGGTTGCACAAGGATGGAAGAATGAGGAAACCCCGACAAAAGAACAGTGGCAAGAGAAATTGATGAACTATGCAGAACTGGTGAAACTGACATGCAAATTACGAGACAAGGACAACTGTAGCTTCAAAGAAGGAACCCTTCACAATTTTTTTAAAAAGACAACAAAATGAATTGGACTCCTTGGCAGGTTTTGAATAAACATACACAAATTCATTGAGGGATAACATAGAATAATATAAGGATGTATACAGTTTTATAATATGCAGAAGTTAACATTGGATGAGAAATCAGAGAGAGGAGTCGTAGGGGGGAGGGTTTGTTGGGGAAGTGGGAGGGGAAAATGTGTGGGGGGAGAATAATGAAGATGATTTGTTTTGATAATTTGCTATGTTGAAATTGTTAAATTTTTTTAAAAGATATTAATCTCAACAGGAGAGATTTAAGCACATGTAGGACTCTCTCATCAAAACCGTTGGGACTTCTGAGTGCTATACTGTACACCTCAGCCCTGTCTATCCACCTGTCTATCTGCCCATTCATACTCAGGAGTAAGTCAGGCTGAATTCAGTGGGACTTGCTCCCAGAAAAGCTTGCATAGAGTTGCAGCCTGACTAGACCATGTCTGTAATTTGGATAGCTGACATCAACGTGCTGTTTTGTAAAGCCCATTTGATCTCCGCAGGTGTGGAATTGATTTGAGAATGAATGAATGAATGAATGAATGAACTGGAGGATATTGCTTGGCTGTGCAATAAGAATCTGCGGCAGCCTACAGGATGTATCTAAGAAAGCATGAAGTCGTCACCTCTAGCCCAGTCCTGGGGCTGAAGGCTGTTGTGCTTGGTGGCCTTGATGCGGGGAGCACTTTGCCCGCCTTGGTTCTCCCTAAGGCCACAGCCCCTCCCTGGTCCTGCCTCCTGCTCCACTCCTCTCACGCGATGT